AAGTCTTTGTTAAAGATTGAACCAAAACAACTATTTATGAGTTGAATCACATTACAAGGTATAGACTGTGTACTCAACACTTCAATGAGGGAAACAATCCAATGAGGCACTCTAAATTACATTGATTACAAAAATTAATAAATATAAACCTCACAGTAGGTCTGTCTTTGTTAATGGTTAATAAGTTATCGCATTCTACAGAATATTGGATGCACTTTCTGAGGAACACAAAATGGTCCCGTATGCATCTGTACATCTTGACAGTTTAAAGGGTGTAAGGTGTGCCTTCATGTGCAAAAAGTTAAAATCTTAAAATGATTAGTAATTCATTGAAAACTGGCAAGAATATTCCCCAGCAGGATTCCTCTCCTCAAAGGTAAGCAAAGTTGACAACTGAAGGAGTCTCCATAGGATTTGACAATGAACATTCTCACTCTCCCTGTCTCAGCCTTGCCAAATCACCGGTGGTCACTAATAAATTCAGGCATGTAAAAAATGGGCCTTCCTCCATGATGCCCTCCATAAAGTTGAAAGCTTCTGAACCTCAGGTTAGAGATGCTGCTGGAGGGGGGAGTGGGGAAAGGAGCAATAAAACATTCATATTTTCAAAGAAATGTTTTATTTAAGCACCTCACAGCAGAACTAGGGAGATGATAAACATTTACCCATTGGAAATGATATTATGACCCTGGCAGAGGCCATGTGGTGGCTTGTTTATTTTGTTCCAGGGAGCTATTACGAGAGGTGACTGTGTGAGACGGAGAGGGCAAGACGGAATAGCATTCTGGTAATACAAAACAAAGCCAGGTAGCCTACTATTTTGTCCTTTAAAGTACTGACATGATACTGCCTTGCATGTGTATACAGAATCGGATCTCAGAACTGAGAGCACTGAGAAAAAAACATTCATATTTGCTGGGTAATCATATTTGCCAGGTGCGTATTGATGCTAATGATCCTAATAACTATAAGGAGCTGTTGATTGTTCATTTAAATCGCAGACATATTTCAATGTGCATAATGATCTCAAGATGCTTTTGTTTCAATTAAGATGGATTTGGATCCTTACAGCACACGGGCACCTACGATTTGTCAGAACCCCGGCTGTTCTCGTTCTTCCTCACGGCTCATTCAAAGTGGATTAAAACATCTAAGGAGGTAATCAGACCTTCTAACACAAAACAGAAAGCCTATGTGCCCGATGACTCTCAGCGAAGTGTAACCAATAACTGTTCCATTTCCAAGACGCAGCTGAGCTTGAAATGAATACAAATCTCTTTTATTTCAAAACTGAAGACTTTGAATTGCCAGCAGCACTTCCAGGTGATCTTACTGTATACCAATTAGGCCGCTTGCAACGAGTAGCTCGGCTTTGCCTCTGATTGATGTCTGACCTCTTGGGATCCTTGAAAATCACTCGCTCTGCATTCTGCCGCTGCTCCCAGTGGGATCCTGATGAATGGCGACCCAAACAAATGAAAATGTTTATCGTCCTCTTATCAAATTAACCACTCTATTGCACAATTAATTGTTTATTAAAGGACTTAAGATGGAATCACATAATGAACCTGGTACCGGTCTTAAGCTTTTTTCCAATTAGGAAATGCACTGACTCATGTCATCTGAATGATGTCACTCCTATGAAACTGAAGCTGCAAACTTTTATTTATTTCATTTTTACTCATTTGAGGAGGAGATGGACATCAAAAGGAAATCTTATCCTACTGTATGATCCGCTCTTTGTTATCAGAAAAGCCACAGCACCCCCTAATGGATGCTCAACACTGGATCATCATTAAAGGCTTAAACTTGAGAGAAATAAAATCTCAAGACCATGTTCAGAATATTTAATTATATTTTTAGATATATTTTCTGAATATATCTTCTAAATTTGGTAGCAAAAATACAGTGCAACATTTTAAACCCTGGAGGCTGGAATAATACAGTGGTTGCATCACAAATCTGAAAAATACAGGAAGGATATTGAGGCACATCCGACTCTGTTTACGTAACATCCTAAGGTCTTTTCTAGTTGGTATACCACAATCACAATCCTGTGCATGCATTTAGATAATGAAAGATTAAAAGCAGTGCCTGAATGAAGTGGCTGAAAGAAGTAAATCAATTAATAAACATTCTTTTTATTATTATTGTTTTATTTCTACTGAGAAATAAGTATCACCAAATGTGTCTAAAGTTTTGTCTAAAGCTCACTTGAATTTGTTTTAGACTAGATATGATGTTACGGTGCATTTGAAGTTTCCTTAGAAGGTTAATTGACTGACTGAGCAGTGAGGCAGAAAAGCGGCAGATTCACGGTGTTTCAGAAATAAGTATATGTTTGTCAAATATGCTGTAAAATGCCAAAGCGCATACAAAGTAACCTCTGCTAGAGTTTCCTAATTACAAACTGATCTGCCATAATGTGAAATGGCAGTTTACCATCAAATCTGAGAAACCTCATTAGGCACAAACATGTGCAAAAAATTCTACATTTAAGCTGTTGAAGTGTAGAGATGTGTGAAGCACAGATCACACAGAAACCAAGAAAATTTCTGTTGGTCTACAATCCGTGACCAACAGAAAGGTCCTGGGTTTGCAAGTAACTTTGTGAAATTCCAGATTGCATAGATTCCTTTTGACTTTCACCTGCGAAAATTCGGCGAACAACAGTAAATGCGACTGTAGGAGTACAACTGCTTGTCACTGGAGCCTTAGACAACTTTGTACCTCTTGTAACCCTAAACGGTTTACAATAGTACCTTGAGGGAACATTACTTTAAAGTATACTAATAATGAATGTTTTAGGGGTAGATGAGGTGCAGAGTTGTGCCTTTAAGGTTACAGCCTCAGTTGCAAGCTGTTGTGTAGTTACAAATTTTGCACTTTTTCTTTCTGAAAGTGTATACAGTTTGTTCAGTACTGACTGATCACAAACATTACCTGTGTGAATTGTATGTGCAAAAGTATAAGTTTGACTATAATTGTTGTGAGGGCCAAATTATATTAAAAAATTCGAATATAGTGAAATACTGGCCAAATCATGTTTTGCTTTAAATCTACTGATTTCAAGAGGTTTGTGTATAGCAAAAAGTACATTTCATTACCTCCATATTAAAAACCATTGTGTGCATCCACCTTTTTTCCTACACCCCATGATGCTTTTGCGCAAATTATGGGAGTAACTTCCGTTAAACTGTAAACAATCAGTTCGATCTATGAACACAATAATAAGCATTTACAAAAACTGGATATAACCAGATGACATTATTCTACTCGCCCTTCAACCATCAAACATTAAAAGGAAATTTTAAAGTGTAAAAGCAATAACAAATTACAACAGACCATGAATAACCTAAATAGCTTGTTGCAACATACGTTGCCTTCATCAAAAACATTCATTATAACTGGAACATTGAGTGATAATGTTTCAAAGTGACTTACGTCATTTTGACACACAGACAATAAATATTTTATTTACCAGTTTCTGAAACATTCCAGTAAACACTGCTAGTAGGGATTAAAAGTGGAATTGGGAGACAAACAGAGACGTGAGGATTTAGGGACAAAAACGAGAGATTCTTAGTGCATTTCAGTTAATTATTTATAGGATATATCGTAAATGAAATTAATTAGATCTTCTTGTTATACCATGTCATATTAATTAAAAGCATTGACGTCTGAAAATAGACCATGAAGAGAATGTTTACAGCACATACAGTCAAACTGACAGATAAGGATTATTTGTGCAACCTTATGATTTGAAATGATTTGTTTCATCTTTTTGAGTGGAATTTCTCTAAACTATGAATACTAACAGTAACATAGTGAAAGCAGCAGGTGTGTGTTTAGGTATCTGTAAAAAAAACAAATACAGTGAATCTCTCTTATAGGCTACTTTAGATGACTAGTAATGATTCTCCACAATGAGTCACAAGTCAATGAGACATCACAGATCTTTCACTCTGATACCTATAGTGGGCTATTGTAAAACTGGGGGCCACTACAGTATATTTAAGCCTTTTCTCTAATTCTCTGTCCTACTGTTTACCTTCCACTTCATTCACTCATAATCACACATTTGTGCTATATGATGTCCATAAAATGGAGTCATTCCATCTTGGCTGCATGGCTAAAGCTCAACAGGGCAGACCTTCATGCCGAGTTGACTTTAATGACTTTTTAATAGGTCTCTCCATTTTAACGATGCAGTACAACAGCTCCAGTCATTTTATTGGAATGATGAATGATTGAGAGGAGGCTAACATTAATTTAATTTACAGCACATGCTTCCCATCTTTAAAAGACCAAGACGGTATCGCAAGAGGCAAAGAACGAGAGGGAAGGGGTGCGTTCATTATGTCGGAAAAAGGCTGGGGTGATTTATGATAGCAGCATTGTTGTTTTCCCTTATCTCTAATTAGACGATTTTGTCATGCTAACTGATTTCAGTGTCAAAGCAACAAACATGGTTAACAAGATAGGCCGTCTTGTTCCTCATCATTCATCATTCTCAAAAGAGTCACTTGAGTCAAAACGTCCAATCATTTCCTGACACCCCACGTGCTTAATTAGTCTCAGTCACCTGGAGGGACTGGGATGATTTCCTCTACGGATATATGTCGCTCAGAGAAAGCGAGCATTCATTTCTCCTCATATGTGTGTAGCAGAGGGTTTGACGCATGTGTGTGCCCTGTCCTCAAAGACAAACTCTACAGTGTGCTTAAAACTACATGCCCTACAACAGGAATGATAAACAGGTTCTGTTTGGCACTAGTGCCCTCTGCAGGCTGTAAGATAAAGCAAATTCACTTAGCCAGAGTTCAGGGAAAACTTCACTAGGTTCAACTGGCCGTAGGTTGTATTGTGAGAGTTAATGTCCTCATCAAGGGCCTCAAATGTCCTAGTTTGCTGCCCTACACCTGTCATTTCACCTCTTACCTGTAAAACTCTCTCTCCCTCTCTCCTCCTTTCTTTCCCTGACTGTATAAAAATAGTTCCTGTCACACAAGGCAGTGAGAACTGTATTGGTATTGTAGTCATGACGTCCATTCTCTCTCTCTCATCTGTTCTGTTGGCTCTAAAGCTCTGCTCAGGTAAGGTAGAATATCTATCTATCTATCTATCTATCTATCTATCTATCTATCTATCTATCTATCTATCTATCTGTCTGTCTGTCTGTCTGTCTGTCTATTATCTGTCTAACTATCCAACTATGTCTAACTATCTATCTATCTGTCTGTCTAACTATTCATCTGTCTATCTGTCTATATTTTCATGTATCTGTCTATGTCTTTGGCTGGCTGGCTGGTTGTCTATGGCTGAATACAGTTGAGTGAATGACTGCTCTAAGAAGAGGCTGAATTTTGGCCTGACAAAATACAACTACATTTTTTTGTATGTCTTGCATAGAAATAATATATTTTTAAATAAAGTTCAATCTTATTTGATACAGTTTTTAGAATACATTTTTAAAATGCAATATTCGGTAGGCTAACTTTTATTTTGAGTAGCTACCATTATCTGTATTGTAGCCTATAGCATAGCTTTTAAATATAATTATTCATTTAGGGCTCCAAATGATAAAATAAAAATGTACAAAAACTGTTTAAAATCTAGACAGTCTGGAAAACTTTGTGTGCAATGCATCCATATTATGTTTCATCAGATAGACCTGTCTCTACGCAACGATGAACCGCGCCAGCAATGATGTGAATGTGAATCGTTCATGTTACGAGTTCACACACAACGGTCTCCCTCACATTCGATTCGAATTTCGAAATGAACCGGAACGTTACTGTTTCTACACTTTAACAGCGTGAGTTGTTAATTACAACGTGTAAATAAAGATACAGCTTTATTGTGGACTATAGCCTGCGTTAATAATAAAGTATGGATTTAAAATGGTTGGCTACTATAACAACATTTGGGAACCACCACAACTTAAATAGTCATCAACATAAAACATCAACATGATAGCCTACCACTAAACATGCGTTTTTCTAGAACACAAGTGACACATAGGCTTAAAATTCTAAATGACATATAGCCTATTGTCATTAAAAAAAAACGTGCACCTACAAGTAAAAAAAAAATTTTTAAAAAGTAAATAATTCAAACCAAGTTATTCCATATTCCAACCATCTGTCAAGTTGTTTTAAAAAATATATAATATAGCCTACATAATAATGGTCATCAGTTAAAATTAGAAAGTGATTCGTACCTGTACGGCGCAAACATAACTTCCATCCCTTCACAATTTTGCCTTCTAGCAGGTGAACAGAACATTTAGAAGGCTGGGCACGCGGAACAGAGCGGGCGCGATCCCGTGAAAATTACGTGAATAAGTGAAGTCTGCACCCTGCACGAAGTAGCTAATTAATAAACCCAAATATATGCACACTTTTGAAATATGACATGTGGCTTGTCTATTAATGACCCATAAACAACAGAGTCAAAGTTAATTTACTAATTTATATTCGGGACTATAGAAAAGATAACCTTTGGGCTTCAATGTTGCCTACATATAGGCCTTTATAACTTTTTTTTTTTTTAAACAAAGCCATATAACCTACTGTAGATATGATTATATCACATAATTATGTGGCAAGTCCTGTCCACTATCTGAAAGCTGTTGACTTGAGATTGCTTAACCATTGTGGGAAAATTGTAGCCTAAATGTTTGTATTGTTGTTGTTGTTACAAAACAATAATCAGCGGTCCCTATGCATTAACAGCTCTACCAACTGACTGGTAGAATTTTAGTCGAATCACAGCCTCTCATTCTCCTGCTCCTTGTCCTTTGAGTGGAATGGAGTTGCATTCTTGAACTCTAAAATAATTAATTTCTTCTCTACCCGCCCTCTTTGTTTTGAACTTGAATATGTCAGGTATAAATTGTTGTAAAAGCCCTTGCCCTGAAATTGCAAAACAGAGGGGTGTCAGGATTATTTGAAAAGTGGGGGTAATTTATTAAGGTATGGGAAGGTGGACTGTTTAAAAATAATTATGATCCAAAAGTAGAGGCAGATGCTAAATGTATCAAGTGTGTGTTTTGTTTAGGTATGGATATTTGTGCATTTATATAGGCACTAGGCGTACTGGTTAACTTACCTCCAGATAATAATATTTGCAAAAAAAAATTGTTAAAGAGGGACTTCAATATGATGTTTGCACATGTCAAGTTCAAGTTGCAATGTATTGCTGCACATTTACTCTGTCACTGGTTAATCTAGCCTGTACCGCAGTGCATCTTGGGTTACTGAATCCAGACAGGTTATTTTTTAACAGAAGTCACCTTGTGTTGTGCATATCGTTTATATTGTCTGACCTCTTCAAAGTTCACCGTTTCCTTAAGATTTCACATGCTAGTACTTACTGGACAGATGCAGATGTAATACATGCAGGTGCCATGTCAGCTTCAGAACAACCTTTGTATAATGTTTTTTCTGTAGTCATCCTCATGCTTAACACCCAGCATCACACTCTCAATTCAACAGAAGTTTTATTTGCAACATTGTTCACTGCAATGAAGAACAACTGTTTACTTGGAAACAAAAAATTCAAATGCTAAACTTAAAATAACCAAAATAATCTCAAAATAATGAAGAAAGAAAGTCGTACATGTTTGAAACAACTTTAAGGTGAGTAAATGATAAGAGAATTTCCTTTTTGTGCAAACCAAGTTGAATGGGTTGAAAGTGCACAGGTGGACAGTGGGTAATAATAAAAAAGAACACTTAAGGTGCCTTTGCATTCAAGCACATGTTCTGCTGTCGATCAAACCTGGTGATCAGGAGGGGAACTCTGTTAGATGGCTCACTGATTATCAGGAAAAACTTTGTGAATCAAAGCATGGCTTTATATGGCCACAAAATAAACAAATTTGTTAGTTAATGACCACCATCAAAACTGGCTCTGAACCTTGGCTTCGAGTCACGGATTTAAATACTTTCCAAAAGTGGTCCATGGAACAGTTTTTTTCTCTCTGTTCCAGGCGAGTGGTGCTACGAGAGCCAGTCCTGTGACAGCGAATGTAGAGGTGAGAACTGGGGCTCAAGTTTTTGCATTGTCATCACTAAAGCAAAGTCCTTGTTCTTAAACAGTTGAACGTATACAGTTAGAAAAATGTGTTTTCCATTTGTGTCATCCAGGGCCTTCAGAGTGGAAAAAAACGTATCTTAAGTGTGGAGGTCCAAATCAATCGCCCATCAATATCATCACACGCAAAGTGAAGCATGACCCAAAACTGACCAGTTTTATCTTCGATGGTCATGAGGACATTTTCAATATGAGTGTGGAAAACCATGGACAATCAGGTAGATGGAACTGAACTTTAAAGGGATAGTTCACCTAAAAATGTCAATTCTGTTTTCATTTATTCCGTATTCAAAACACAAATGAAGATGTTTTTTATAATCTTTTATCACTTTTGTCCATCTATTGAAAGTCCGCCCAACCAAATTTTTAAAGCATCAGAAAGCGTAAAAGAAATGACTGAACAAACCTCATTGGTATACGTTTGAGCTACCATTTGCATATTTTATGAGCTCTATATGTGAATTTATCAGTGTTTATAAAACGTGGATTACTTTTATTATGTCTTCATAAACTTTTTTATTGTGAAAGTTTTGGTGGAATGGAATTTGAATGGAGGGAGTGAAATCAAATTTCACTGTAAAAGAAAAGTTTTTAAGTACAATCAACTTGGATGTTTAAGTAATTTTTTTAACTTAAATTACATTAAACTGACTTAAAGAATCTTGTATACCTTATAAAAAAAAGTTAAGCAATTTAAAAATATGTGTTGTAATAACTTATGGATCATATAATTATTTGCAGTGTCAAAGATGAACAAAGTCTTATGAGTTTGGAACAATGTGAGAGCAGGAACAAAGTTTTGGATGAACTATCATTTAAAAGTGGACATGAAATGACGCTTTACAAGGGCACATGAATTTGAAAAAATACTGATGTGCACGGATAAATACTGAAATATTCCATAAAAAAACAAGAATTGTCAATTTTGAATTCCATTCAATTTAATTCAATTGACTTTTGAATATTGTAATCGTACAGTTAAGGATGATAACATGCTCTATACTTCTTCCCAGCTCACTTTACACTCCCTCAATCGGTGCGTCTCCGTGATGGGGGTCTGTCAGGCACATACAAGGCTGTCCAGTTCCACCTGCACTGGGGAGAGGACGGCGGCCAGGGCTCAGAGCACTCTGTGGACGGGGAGCGTTATCCCATGGAGGTGAGAGTCCATGTCACGGTCAAGGATATTTGGATGATTAAATGCAAACAAAGCCTATTATTGTTTTAAGTTAAGTTATAATGGGTATTAATTATGCATTTTGCCTCCCAGCTGCATATTGTTCACATTAAAGAAAAGTATAACAACTTGAGTGGGGCTCTAAACGACTCTACAGGGGTGGCAGCACTAGGCTTCTTTTTTGAGGTACTGATGCCTTTCTGATATTTTGTCTCATAATTATACAAATTAAATAAAAAATTAAAAATTGTGAGGAAATCATCTGAACACAAGCTCTTAAAGGGATAGTTCACCCAGTGTTATTTTAATATTATTGAGATACTATTATAGTTTTTGTTAATATTTTGAATTTATTTTTATTTTTATATTCGGTTTTAATTTTAGTTAAAGTTTTAGTATTTTTGTTGTTTATTTCATTATAAGTTGACAATATATATATATATATATATATATATATATATATATATATATATATATATATATATATATATATATTTATTTATTTATTTTTTATTTTTATTTTTTTTGTTATTGTTCACACTTTAGATTAGGGTCCAATTCTCACTATTAACTAACTATTAACTACGACTTTTGCCTCAATAAACTGCTAATTATTGTTAAATTGTTAAGTTTAAGTTGTTTTAGGGTAGGATTAAGGGATATAGAATATGGTCATGCAGAATAAGGCATTAATGTGTGCTTTAATAAGTACTAATAAACAGCCAATTTTCTATAGTAATATGCATGTAAATAAGCAACTAGTTAAAAGTAAGAATTGGACCTTAAACTAAAGTGTTACCTATAGTTATTTTAGTACATGAAGTTAAACTACATTTTTAAGTTAAATTTAAAACTTTATTTTATTTCAGTTGAAGTTTATTTTATTTCAAGTAACAAACGTTTTTATGGTTTTAGTGTTAGTTAACTATAATAATCCTGCACCAAAAATTGAAAAAACCTATTGTTCCAAAATGACAGACATTCTTCCATGAAACTCAAAAGGTGAATTTATGAAGAATTTTCATTTAATGAAAGTGAACGAGGACTGGGGTTTTCAAGAAGAAAAAAAAAAGATTTACGGTAACTAAATTATTTTCACTTTGACCTCATACAATGCTTCAATAAGGACTACTTTTATGACATTTTATGTTGCATTTTTGTCATTTTGTGCTTGACAACCCCAGTCCTCACCATTCACTTTGCAGCCATTTTGGGTGAAATATCCCTTTAATGAACCATGCCGATAATAACTAATAAAACACAGACTTTTGTCATCCCCCATTAGGTGTCTTCAGAGAAAAACAAAAAGCTTGACCGAATTATAGAGGCTTTAGGAAAAGTCAGACATGAAGGTGAGTACTTAATCTTTTTTTGGGAACTGAATTTCTCATTTTTGATTAGTTTATCTATTTAACATGTTTTGTTTGTCTGTATTTTGGTCCCACATTATGCAATTTGATCAAAAGGGAACAGCAGTGAAATTGAAGACTTTCGACTGGCTGACATCGTCCCTCAAGCCAATACACTCAGCTACTATCGGTACTCGGGTTCCTTGACCACACCAGGTTGTGACCAGTCTGTTGTGTGGACGGTCTTCCAACAGACTCTGCCCATAAGCAAAAATCAGGTACAGAGAGAATTTTTGGCATAAACCAGACTGAGATATAAATGTTAGTCCAACTTACAGTTTTAATCAAAATTATTCAACACCCATTGTAAATCGGGTTTATTGGCAAATTTGACAGACTTACAGCTGTTTGTGATGAACAAATCAAGCAAAAATAATTGAAATAGCTTAACAACAAATGTTTCAAGTGGTTTCCCCATATTCAACTGAAAATGCCACTTTTAATGACTTCTGCAGTCTCAAAATTATTCAACCCCTTAATGGCAAGCATCTTTAGTACTTAGTAGAACACCCATTTGCTGTTATGACCTGCTGCAAACTAGATGTATAACCAGACATCAGCTTCTGGCAGTGTTTCTGAGGAATCTTAGCCAATTCCTCATTAACAATGGCCTCCAGTTTAGTAATATTCTTGGGTTTACGTGCTGCAACCACCTTTTCCTGCAGGTCCTTTGCAGTCACTCAACGTTTTTTCTGAACCTGCCTTCTCAGAAATCTGGTTGCAGCCTTTGATAGCTTCCTTTTTCTGCCCCATTCAGGTTGTGTAACCACTGTTCCTTAAACTTTGAACTTGCAAACTATGTTTCCAACGGTGTCTCTAGGAACATTTAGTGCCTTCGCTATCTTGTTGTATCCAGTTCCTTGTTTGTGAATGGCGATGAAATCTTCTCTTAACCTTTGGGCCATTCTTTTGATTATTTTTCCATATTCTAGCATGCAATTAAAAGTAACACTCAACAAACTTATTTCATGTGTTCTTGCACAAGCACACCTGGTGCAACTAATGAAGCCCTTGATTAGTTGCATCAGATGTGCTTGAGACAACACCTATTTTGTAGATTTGTGCTGTTGTGAGGGATTCTATTCAGGGGGTTGAATAATTTTGAGACTCCAGAAGTCATTAAAAGTAGGATTTTCAGTTGAATTTGGGGAAACCACTTGAAACGTTTGTTGTGTTGAGCTATTTCAATTACTTTTATTTGATTTGTTCATTGCAATGGGGGTTGAATCATTTAGATTACCACTGTAGGAGATCTCAATTAAGTAAATAATTATGGAAAGGTTGAGTTCACTGGTGGCAGTTTAATTCAAATGTACTGATCCTTTTGGCCGTCTTTCTTTTTCTACTTTAGCTGATGTCAATGTATAAACAGCTGTTATTCGCAACAGAAAAGCCAATGACTGGAATATTCCGTCCTGTGCAGAATCTGAATGGACGAGTTGTTTACACATCTGTGAAATCTCACTGTCTGTGTGTCCTGCCCAATCTAATCACCCTGTTTCTGTGCCTCTTTTGTGTTTTTGGACAACAAAGGTGTTTTCACTGAATGGTAGAGAACACGCCTCTTTTAACACAGGATGTTCTGTTTCCAATTTCTACAAACAAAATACAGCTAATAAATCTTTCAAGCACTGAACTGAAGTTAATGGAATGGATCAAGGCTATTAAACCTGACAACATTATTATTTTGTAATTGTTTGTTCACAACTATTAATTGTTTCTCTCATACCTCTTTGTCTACTCTCATTCTCCTTGGACCTTTAAACATGGGAGCTTTATCCGACTTCTATCAAATTCAGGATTCCTATCTGTTTTCCATGACTTGATTGTTGATGATTACTGCATTTGAAGTATTTTTAAGGAGGTTTGGGTTGTCATTGTACAAATAAAGTCTTCAAAATACTAAACAAAACCACTTGGGATGTGAATGTGGCTCGTTTGAAGCTTTCTGAACCTCCACTAAGATGAATTCACTGGGTAAATTTCCAACATTTTCATGATTTTCCAGGCCTGGAAATGCCCCAAAAAAAAATAATTCTCAGATGTTTCCTGGGAAACCCTGTAAATTGAGTGTTTCATACAGCTATGATTTGATGATTTAACAATTAATATGCATATGCAGGGCATGTGATGTTTAAGTTGTACATAATGTACGTTTCCAAAGATGTTAATAAAACTTCAAATGAAGTGACTGCACAAATTATTTATTCAAATGTAACTGCATTTCATTGTACACGTTTTGTCATGTAAAATCCTTATTCTGAACCAATGAAACTTTCCTTAAATGTAACACACAGGCAAACCCTTGACTTCAACTGAATCTGTGATGACATGAGATAATAGCAGGCATAACATGCCAAATTCATCTCTGAAGAAAGAGCACCTACTGCTGACCTTGAGACTATGGTTACTGTTTTTGTGCCTGTAACCAGGTTCTAAAGTGCTCGATTTGAGCCGTGATGCTACTCCTCGCTGTGCCACCGGGTGCGCTGTACTGTTCAACGCTTCTGATGTAGTCCCACACTGAAGAAACGTCTTTGTCAAACAAAGGGCTGGAGAGAAAGAGAGAAACAAATAAATTAAAAATAAAAACATTTCATATACTTCTATATGCCATTATTGTTTTAATGTGCCTGCTGACCTGACGGTTTGAAGGTCCTCTAAAGTGAGTTCAGACAGACTGACTTTCTTAGTCTCTGCAATATAGACGGCTTTTCCAGCACAACTGTGGGCCTCTCTGAAAGGCATCTTTAATATACATGGATATATATCAGATTTCATTTAGCTCAATTGAAACACAAAAGCTATATACTATAAGTAGATGAATTGATGGACTCACTCCCTTTCTGACCAGGTGGTAGGCAAGATCAGTGGCCAGCATATCTGGGCTGAGGGCCGCTTCCATCGTTATTTGGTTGACCTGAGCGATGGTAAAGTATGAGTGCTTAAGATCTACCACTCAGGAAATAAAACAACAATTCGTTACGTTGCTCAAATTGCAGACTGACAATGGATACATGCCCAACACATTTGCATCTTATTCATCATGTCACCTACTGGCTATTTAAACAAGGTAACAGTTTTGTTCTTGATTGCCACTGTCCATGACAAAGCCACATTAACTTGTAGAATAACCCGTCTCTTACCTTTAGAGTTGAGATGACACCTGTAGCCACCTGCAGCACAGCATTTACTGTATCGTATGTGTCGAACATGGCCTCCTTATCCTCCTGCAGTGATAAAACATATAATCAGAGGACAGTTGAAAGCAAAATAATCGCATTCTCTGCCTGTTATGGACATACCTGTAGGTCTTTGTTGTATGTGCTGGGTAAGCCTTTGAGAGTCATCAGAAACCCTGCAAACTGTATTACAATGAAATTTAAATTAGATAAAGACTGACGGTTTTTGTTGTCCAAATTGTTAACTGTAAATTTGAGTGTTAATATTTGATAATTTTATTAAATAATATTTTGAATATTACTTTTAATATTATAATATATTTAATCTTCTAAAAGATTAATCTAAGGATGCACTGTTATGAAAATTTTGGCCGATAAGGTTATAATTAATTTTATGTTATGGCCAATAACGATAAATTGCCAATATTAAAATATGTTTTTATCCGTGTTATTAAATATGATCCCTTTTAGAGTGAATTTAGGCATCACAACATTATAATGTACAGTATGAAAAATGAATAATCGGTCACAACTTATATTAGGTGTCCTTAACTACCATGTACTTAGATTTTTAAAAAACTACAATGTACGTATTGTGTTCATATTGTATTGCAAAACACTCAAGCTGCTATTGAGGTGCGATACGGGTAAGGTTAGGGACAGGTTTACTGGTATGGTTAGGTTTAAGGGTAGGTTATGGTGTAAGGGAAGGTTCAACAGTATCATTTTAGATGGAATTACAGAAAATCATTACAGCTGTAATTCCATGCAGGTATTTTTTCAAATATAAGTACAATGTAAAAACATGTATGTACATAATAAGTGCATTGAATCAAATGATTAATTTAAATGTTCTTACATAGTAGATAAAGACACCTAGTATATCATTTTTAGATTTTCTAAACAAAATCTAACAATGTTATTCAATTATTCATGTTTTTAAAGATTAAGTGAGAGTTAGATGACAGCGTCTTAATTTAAAAATAGGAGAAATAAGCACGCACATTACATATCCATTATCCGATAACCAATAAGGTACCATTATATCGTGCATCCCTAAATTAATAATAACATTCAATTGACAGCCCTAGTACTAATTATTCAATTTGCCATAGATTGACCTTAATCATAAGGGCAGTTCTTTTAAAGACGTGATTATCTCTGTAGGTCAGTATCCATGTATCGTGTTGGCTTCATTAGTCAGTGTTGTATCTTACTCTGCCAAACACTCGTCCTGCTTTGCTGCGAATGAGCTCCAGGCTGTCTGCGTTCTTCTTCTGAGGCATTAAACTGCTCCCAGTGCTGCACTCACAAACACAAACGCTCTGATTAACTACACACACTAGACACACATACAAAGCAGAAGTGGACTGAATCTCTCAGTACACATCAGCCAGCTCATGTTCACAGTCTCTGTGTCCCAAGGCCACTTGACGCCGGGTTGTTTGCTGGCTTGCCATCGGTTCTGCCTTATGTCAATTGTTTTATATGCATAGTTATGGATGATATGGTTGTTTGTGTTAGAAAACACAGCTGCACTCATACCTATGATCGTCATTTACTTCTCTCTACTACGGACTGATGCAGCAGACGCATCCCTATTGAGGACCACTGCCTAAACTCACAGGCTTCTTCTACCTTTCCAGGGGTTACCTGTTACTCGACGGCTTGCACTCTTCATCACACACTGTAAAAAAGTATTGTTGGTTTAACTTAAAATTTTAAGGCAGCCAAGTTACTTTTTTAAGTTCATTGAAATTAAAAAAAAATTGTTGATAGTGATACAATGAAGGAGATTGGTTTTATCAACAGAAACTCATAATATTATGTTATCTGAACCACATAAATGATCTAAGTTGATTTGACAAAAGAAAAATTTGATAAAATCATGATTTTTTCTAGAAATGTACACCCATTCGCAAAAAATCTGGGTATATTTTTTTGATTCAGAGTTGAATTTTGCAAAACAGGTTAACGCTGTGGTGAAAACTAGTTTCTACTACCTAAGGTTAATTGCTAAGATAAAATCTATCCTTTCATCTAGAGATCTGGAGACAATCATCCATTCTTTTATATCATCCAGACTGGAATATTGTAATGTTGTGTATTTAGGACTCTCCCAGGCATTGATGAATCGATTGCAGCTGGTTCAAAATGCCGCTGCTACACTATTGACCGGTATGAGAAAGAGGGACAGAATCACTCAGATTTTATCTATGGTTACCTATCAGATATCGCTCCCTTCAATGGTTACCTATCAGATATTAGATCGACTTCAAGGCCCTATTAATATTTTTTTATTTTAACTGCATGGTCTCACTCCCTCTTTTCTGTCAGATCTTGTTATTCTACACCAGCCAGTAAAAAATGTGAGATCGGGCGATAAACTTTTGTTTCAGGTACCGCGGCCACAACTCGAGCGAAAAGGAGATTGTTTCTTTTCGATAACCGAACCTTACCGCTCTCCATTCGCTCTGCCCCTACTTTGAATGCTTTTAAAATGGCTTTGAAGAACCACTTTTACATCTTGGCTTCTGAGTCTGACCCAGGAGAGAACTAAATATTAGTATTTTATGTTGTTTGTCTTTATGTTTGGTCTTTGTTTGGTTTTCTTTGGGCTGCACTTGTGGCAGTGGAAATGTGCTTTATAAGAAACTAAACTAAACTAAACTAAACTGTGTTGAGTGTCATCCACCAATTAGACAACCCCTTTGAATCCTGCATTCTGTGGCAGATGGTCAGCTTTTACTAACATGGTTTTGGTGTTAATAAATAGGTAATAATTATTTTTCAGCAAGTATTTACTTGTTAACTAAGGCTTGTTAATTACCAGCTTCATCGTCAGTTAATGTTAAAAGACCTAAAACTTCACAGGCCATTAAGAATTATAGTATGAGAATAAAATTGATTGCTCCAACAATGGAAAGTGTGTAATGGCAGGAACATGTACATGTGTACTCACTGACATTTCTTTGCAAGTGCACCATAAAAGTCATCTGAATTCAAGACCCATTCATTTGCAATTCTGCCTAAAGCACAAGCCAGCAGCTCCTACAGTTTCATGATGAAAATGTGCATACGTGGCTAGTGGGGTAAAAATAATGCAGAACATGTAAGGAGAAATGCCGTTATCCCAAGGGCTTCAAATTAATGATCTCTGTCTGCTGTGACATTATGGGTTATTATGGGGCCTACACACGACATATTCTTGAGTTCAAACTACTAGGCAAAATGTTAGGTTAATAAGACAAAAAGAGGCTTTGCACTTCATGGCTCAGTATGTCAAATTCAGTCACATTTAAATCTGCAATCTGAACGGTGAGATTATTTAATGCTTTTGAAAGAAGTATTTTATGTTCACCAAGTTTGAAAAAAAAAAAAAAAAAAAGTTAGTTATTTCACAATAGTATTACAATTTAAAGTAACTGTTAACCATTTACATTTTTTAGCATCATTACTTTTCTGTTTTACATGATCGTTCAGAAATCATTTAAATATGCTGATGTGCTTTTCAAGACACATTTGTTGCATTCATTGGCTGGACAGTAAAGCACAGACCAGAATGGGATTAGAACATGACCCAGGTCAGACTCGAACCGTCAGCCAAGAGCTCTTATATGTCATGGGTGTATGCATAGCCAGATGAGTGTAGCTTTTAATTAAAAAATTGTATTCTATTCTCAAGATTAACCACTGCTATCACTTCCCATTATGGATCATATGCTGTCCTCACCTGTATGCATCAGTCAGAGTGATGAAGGAGAATTCCTTGGTACTGTACAAAATCAGATCCTCCGCCATCTTGCTGAGGTGTGTGAGACACATTGATCCCCAGAAGAGAAACTCCACTGTCCAAAAACATACACAAACACGCAGTTAAAGAGATAGTTCGCCCAAAAATGAAAATTCTGCCATCATTTACTCTTATGTTGTTCTAAGTCTGTAGGACTTTCTTTCTTCTGTGGAACATAAAAAGATATTTTGAAGAATGGAAAGTTTTGGTGACCATTGGCTTCAATTGTATGGACCAAAAAAAACAAAAGTCATAAAAAAAAGTCATACAGGTTTGGAATGACACGAGGGTCAGTAAATGATGACAGAATTTTCATTTTTGGGTGAATAATCCCTTTTATTACAATGATATCTGTTACTTATCATATGCTTAGATGATTTTTGAAGCATTATTATACATACCAACAAAATCCCTCTGTCCAGTAGCATCCATGCTGTTAATGCTAATCCTGTCAAAATTTAGTTCTGGGGAGTGATACAAAAAATTATAAATCAGATTATAAATCAAGTGAACAATTCTACCTGTGTGTACACAAACATACATCACAGGAACATACTTCACGAATCATTAATTATATGGGAATTGGGAAAAGAAATAAACTCACATTAATATTTAATATGAAAACAGAAAAGCAAATAACAGGAAAGCAAATTCATAAAACTATGTCAACCTTGACGAAGAAGTTCTCTATCAATGTTGAATGGATTCCCAGCAATGGCTCCACTGCAAGGCAAATATATACATCATATTTCAATGTATCTAAAAAAGATCCATTTAATACAATGAAAGTGTGAAGTGTGTAAACAACCGTTCAGCAGATTTTTGTTTTTGTTTGAAAGAACTAAATACTTTTGCTCAGCAAAGATGCATTAAAAGTTATGCACTAAAGTGTCAGTAAATAATTTCATAAGGTTACAAAAAAGTTGTCAAATAAATGTGTTTCTTTAAAACTTTCTATTCATCAAAGAATCCAGAAAAAAAAAAGTTTTTTAAACATTGATAATAATAAAAAATGTTTCTTGAGAACCAAATCCAATGCATAAATAATGCAGCCTTGGTGAACATAAGACACTTACTGTACAGTATCACAGTAGTGTATATACACAAAACTAACCTTCCTAGGGGCATCACATTAACACGTTTTCTGATGTCGTCCAGCCGCTCAACATCCCTGCTTAGCGCCACTGCATGACTGCGAGAAACGATGAACATTGAACAATTGTGACCAAACATATGTATCAACAGGATGAAGGTCTTGACACTTCACTGTAGCTTTACCTTGAGTAGATAATAATTAAAGGGATAGTGCATAATTTATTCACCCTCAAGTTCCAAACCTGTATGAATTTCTTTCTTCTGCTGAACACAAAAGAGGCCCATCAATGGGGCCCATCAACTGTTATTACCCATATTCTTCAAAATATCTTCTTTTGTGTTCAGCAGAAAAAAGAAATTCATACAGGTTTGGAACAACTTGAGGGTGAGTAAATGATGACAGAATTTTCATATTTTGAGCCTACTATCCCTTTAAGACTGAATTTGAAATGCACCTGAGAATCCAGTGACTCCATCTGATTGGCTGGGCCCTCTGCATGTGAGTGTATCCAGGGCATAGGATGTCAATCTCTCTGATTGGGCAAAGGAAGATAGTTTGCGATGTGTGTGTTTGGTAATTGTACATTAGTCCGATCTCTACAGGTATCTAGATTATTGAGCATTCTTACGCTGCAGCTCTTTCCACCATAGTGTTGATGAGCTGCAAAGCTAGTCCTTTCAGAGTGGCAATAGCGTCCCGTAGCCAGAGCCGCATATCTGTTGCAACCTATATCCAACAAATGAAAACTGTTCAGTCAAAGCCATGCCTACAGAGAAAATATCATGTGACCAAATTCGGTACAAGCCAAACCTGATCATTCCTGCTCCTGCCTGTGTGAAGCTTTCCAGCTGGATCACCAATAAATTCCTTTAAAAAGAAAAAGACATTAATATTATAGGAACCAAAAATTCAGTTAAATGTTCTCTTCATAATACATAATACAGACCTTCAGCCTGCGTTCATTGGCTGTGTGAATATCCTCGTCTCCTGGTTTGATCTTGAACTCGCCTTTGGACCACTCATCAAAAACCTAATGAAGACATTCATAAATATCTGTGAACAGGCAATGACAATGAAGTAAAATGTCTGAGAACTCTTTCTGATTTCAAATTTACAATATTTATTTACAGCCATATAGGGGAAACACAGTGCTAGTCGGAAGCAAAATGCTATATCTCAGTAGCTTTTGAATTAAAAATACAATTACATTTCTCTAGCTGTTGTGCCCTGGTTTCAAATTCTGTATTAAATTAGAACATCTTTGTGATTTGTTTATCCTCCAAACTAAAATACAAATATTTTCAACTTCAAGGGTAAAATATTCACTTTATTTTGAATTTAATACAGGGTGAGGACATTTTTAAATTGAATGTGCGAGCTTCGGGTGTCATTCACTTTTAGATATTATTTTAGATGTACAAAAACAGTGCTGCTAGATATTGCAAACTGGTATTTTTGTCATATTATTTTAGTTTATTATAAACACACAGTTTTATAGCCTAAATAATATACTTCTAGTTATTTACTTAGAGTGGCTAATGGATCAGAAGTCTTGAACCTTCATATTCATAGCTTACATCTGAGGAGAACTAATTTGAATAAAACGTATATATTATATAGCGAGAACTAGATTTCCTCTAAAAATAATAGATTACATTTTTATCAGGGTAAGTTGTCACTTATTATGCGTTTTAAATGTATACCGTACATTAATTACAGTAATTGTAGGTAATCTATTACCCTTCAGAATTGTGCTGTAATACTGTTTTAACTTTTTAAATACCAGGCCATGTTCACGTGATCAATCTTTTTTTCCTGGTCAATAAGAGTGGAAATTTACAATAGCTTTTTTGTAATGTAATGTACCTATACAGAAACTGATATACAAAAATGAAATATGCACTGCATTAAAGGGATAGTTCACCCCAAAAAAAAAAAAAAATTTTGTCATCAAACCTGTATGAGTTTCTTTCTTCTGTTGAACACAAAAGAAGATATTTTAAAGAATGTTGGTAACCAGTCAGTTGACGGCAGCCATTGACTTCCATAGTATTGTTTTCCTACTATGGAAGACAATGGGTGCCATCAACTGTCTGGTTAACAACATTCTTTAAAATATCTTCTTTTGTGTTCAAAAGAAGAAAGAAAATCATGCAGGTTTGGAACAACTTATGGGTGAGTTAGATGATGATTTTTAGGTGAACAATCGTTTTAAAACGTGTGACAACTAGCCCCAGTTGGCTGGTTGTTGTTATGTTGTCAGAACAATATACAACATGTTAAACGACTGTAGCTTCGGTGAAGTTTACAATAGGCATCATCAGCAGCATTGTCACATGGCTATTGTTGTGTGCACATGGAGATGTCTGTGTCAGGGCATATTTTTGTCTGTGATGTATTAAGCTTTGGTGTCAAAGGGGGAATGGACTATGGTATCCTGGTAAATATTTACAAAGTGCACTGGGGTACATGAAGTTTCATGAAAAAGATTACTGTAAAAGAACACACATATAACCTGGAAGCAAGTAGACAGGTTTATGAGTCAGGTTGTGTGGTAAATGGTATAATCACCTTGTCAAGGCCTGTGCGAATCTGTTCCATCTCGTTTTGGGTGACCAAACCTGCTTTCTGTAAGGCTTTGACATATGCTTTACTTCCTTTAATATCAGCTTCCCACATACGCTGGTCGTACGCGATTGACGCATTGAACTTTTCCATTATAGGGTCTGTGTTTCCCACAAAACGACCACCCCATAGCTTATTTCCCTGTTCAACACAAAATAAAGAACATAAACATTACGGTAAGGCATGGCAGGTTTGGAAAGCCTGTGACAGACAAGAAACGCACTAAACTTTAGAGAGATGAGCAATCTTTACCTCTGAAGTTGCCATTGTAACAGTCTCACTTTGACTCTCAAGCAGTCTTTATGTGCGAAGAACAAACGGGAAACTAAAGCATATTATTTAAATCAGATAGAGGAAATGTCAGATAATTAAAGGATCGATTCAGCACCGAATGCTTTCACCGATTCATAAGAATGAATAACTGTAAGAGGCGAGGCTTTAACGTTACATCCAGCAGCTTGCAACATTTCCTCGTTTATTTTGAGAGGGCGAAAGCCCCGCCCATTATATGTAAATGAGGTGCTCGCCTCACCAACCAACCAAAATTAAGCGTCATTTTTCGGGAGCTGTCATTTAGCCTAAAGAACCAGTGGATGGCGCTATGCCCCTGTGTCATTTAACCGAAAAGATAAGAATGAATCTAACTATACTTCATATATATAAATAACAAATAAATATATTAAAATAAACATATTAAAATTAATTAATTAAAGTGTTCTATTGTAGTTCATCTTCTTTTATGTTTAATAACTTTCAAACGTATAAAAACAGGAAAAAGCACATCCTCTAACCCTTGCTTTGAATTATTTATTTGCATTGACCTACGCCATATATGTTAAGACTTAAAAATATTACATTTTTAATCAATATTTTTCTATAGAATTGCTTCCACAACATTTCAAAACCGTTCAATGTCCGTGATTTATTGATGGTTTTGAATTTTGAGGGTTTTAATGGATTTATTTTGCTGTTGGGGGAAATAGTCAGATTCAAATCTCGTCAAAAAAATATTTTTCAAACATTAGGCTAATAGTTACAGGAATACTTAAGCCTAAACAAATGTGAACATGACCGAACATGACACCTGGGTGGGAACGTTTAACAGAAAGCTTCGTTTTCTCGCCGGATGGTTTTTAGTTGTCGAACCAACAAGGAAAGCAAGATGGAAGTGTAAGCGATCTAATTTACTTCTACACGTTTGAAGTCAAACTCAGCCCATATAATAGTTGGTCTTTTGTTGGGAAAAAAAGTAGTATCTGGCGCTCTGATGAGTAAATACATTTTCCTAATTTATAATGAACTGTCGATTATATGCGGCTCACGTGGTGGTCACTCTGTTATTAGCCGTAAACTCTGCATATGATGTACAGTGGTTCCAGCCATAACTCTCGGATAAACTTGATTATGAGCTTTTCTAACTAGCTGATCTGTTTGAAATACAATATATAGTCACCAATAATTGCTGAAAAATAATTTGGGTGTAAAGAAAGACTGTATAATCTAGTACGTGTTGAATACGGCCGTATTGTATAGGGCTAATATCGAGAGCAATTTTGAAAAACTCGCAACAAATAGTTAACATGAATAGACATCAACACAAACTACTAATCCAAGTGAAGTAAATCTCAAAGAGATTGTAAGACTTCGAGAGCAGCTCACACTGAATATTCGTATTCGTTGTTAAAGAAATGTTAAAACATTGTGACAAAATGGTGTCTACTAACGATCAATGTCATACTATTAAACTCGATCCACTTGATTGTGTTCACCAAAAAAAAAAAAAAAAAGCCCAGTTCCTGTCACCATCTGAACTTCCTAAACCAGGGGTGTCCAGTCCTGCTCCTGGAGAGCCTGAGCCACTGTCCTGCAAAGTTTAGTTCCAACCCCAATTAAACACACAAAGCAGCTTAGACATACTAGAAACTTCCAGAGAGTGTTGTTGAGGCAAGTTGGAGCTAAACTCTGCAGGACAGTGAAAGTCCAGGACTGTCACTGACTGTGTCAATAAATAGTGTTTAGGGCAGGGGTGTCCAGAATATTTTTTGTACTGTATTTTTTTATATAGTAGCCTAAAGATAGTGCAGTCCCACTGCTCACACACATGCATACATTTCAAATGCACAAAATGCAGTGGTGTTTGTTGCAATGCTCCAAAGTGTTGAAGCTTGTTATTTTGCCCTGGAACATATAAATAAACAAAGGTAATTGCCACTGTTTATCTATCTGAATTTATCTTAAACTCGAAATTGCAATTAGAAAAAGTCACAATTGTGAGACATAAACTCGGAATTGCGAGATAAAGAGTCAGAATTGTCAGTTAAAAAGTCGCAGTTAACTTTTTTAATTATTATTCCGTGGCGGAAACAAGCTTCCATAAAGGTCTATTATAGCTGCTGTTAAAATACGTTTAGGTCATTTAACACAAGTTAATCCTAATTTAAACATTTTGTTTTGTAGGAGGGACGCCAATGCTGCAATGCTGAGCAATTATGAGGTCAGTATATATACATTTAACCTTTTTAGATTCAATTTGTACCCATTTTTGGTTGTACATTTAAAGGTGTGCGTTATCAAAAATGCATGCATGCATGCAGTTTTTGTTCTTGGCTGTACAAATGCCCTCTACTCCACCAGGTCTATCAGCTGCTGACAGACCTGAAAGAAAAGAGAAAGGAGATGGTTAAAAATAAGCACAGCACCGGGCAGCAGAATCTCAACACCATCATGTATGAGGTGCTTGTCTTTGATGTGACTTAAAGCAAAGATGATATTTATATTTCCATCTTTGTGAGATGAAAATCTTCAGAAAGGGTTGCTCGCTCATGCACTTTAACATTTGATCTAAATGCCTCAATAGACCCTGAAGTACCTCTCCAAGACACCATGTGTTCATCAGAAACCAGAGACTGTGAAGGAGTTCCTCACTGCCATGCTGCCTCACAAGCTCACTAAGTTAGTTTTGTTTCTTCTTTTTAAACAATTGCTTTACACATTTTTGTATGGAAAAAAACTTATAGACCTGTCACACAAATAGGTCTATTGTGACAAATGCAGACTTTGTCACATTAAATACAGTGTATTACAACAACTTTGTAAGTCTGAGTTTGAGATGCATCTTAATGAAGATTTGTGTCATGTGATGTGTGAGACTACAGTACTCGTCTGAGTTGCCTTTTTGCACTTGATAATGAGTGAACCTGCTTTTTTTTAGCCAAGAGTTGACTGCTGTTTCTTTTTCTGTTCCTGTTTAAAGAGCTGAAAAGCTGCAGCTCCTTAACCACAGACCCCAGACTGCTGTTGAAATCCAGCTGGTGAGACTCTTTCATAACCTTCCTCCTTTTTTACATCATTGCCAATTTCTTGAGAAATACTGAGAATGTGCAATGCCATTCAAACGTTTGGGAACAGTTAATTATTTTATTGAAAGAAATGAATACTTTTATTCACATTCATTTAAACAACATGGACTGTAAAGATAATATGTAACAAAACAAATTATATCTATTTTAAATAGATGCTGTTCTTTTGAACTTTTTATACACCAAAGAATCATGTGACACTGTGGACTGGAGTAATACCTGCTGTCATGTCAAATTGTAGTATTTCAAAATATTTACTGTTTTACTGTATTTTTGGATCAAATAAATTCAGCCTTGTTCAGCATAAAAAACTAATCTTATCGACCCAAAAATTTTGAAAGATAGTGTATAAGCAAATATTCACATAGTTGATTAGAAGTTAAACTTACAGGAAAAATAAGCATACAAGAATATAACAAACAAAAAGCAATGAAATTGAAGTAGGAAATTCAGATAAACAGAATTTATTTGTCCTCGACACAAAATTCTGTTGAATATTACCTATGATAATATAATAGTATGAGCAGTGTTGGGCAAGATGCTCTAAAAAAGTAATTACTATCTACTAATTACTACTTCAACAGTGTAATAAGATTAATGTACTAATTACTCTCTCTAAAAAGTATTGCATTACTTATTACTAATAACTTTCTAAATCCCAGGTCAACCTTAACCAGTTGAACAATACAAGGATAGACATTAAACTGCTCTTAATTCTTTAAAATAAATAATATAAAATTGCATAAATTATTATTGTTTAATATGGAATTAACTGTAGAAGTAACTAATTAAATTACAGAAAAATTAAGAGTTATACCTTACTTTAAAGTAATTAAATTACAGTAATGAATTACTTAATAATGTGTTACACCCAACACTGATTAGGAGTATTATTATTAATATTATTACAAGGAAAAATGTATTAATTCTGGTACCCTGAAGCCCTATGATTTATCTGTGCCCCTGTAATAAACTAATAGAACAGATTGTATGGAGAAAAGACTATTTTCTGAATGGCCAGCGCTGGATGTTAGATGTATAACCTATATATGACCTAACCTTACAGATGGTAGAGGAGAGTGAGGAAAGACTGACAGAAGAACAGATTGATGAACTTATACAGAAAGTCACAGACATCCTGCCTGGTGACCCCGAGAAAGAAGGCGATGCATCTGCTGACCCTGTGATGGAGACAGACCAGTAGCATCAGCCCTGGAAACACAATGATTTTTTTTTTAAACATGCTTTCAATCCCAAACACACAAAGAAACTGACTTCAGCTTTGTTGACGGTGCTAATTAATTAGTATATACTGTTAATCTTAATCATAATTAATATTATATATAAAATATATTCTCTTTATAACATTATATTAATGAAAACATGTTAGCCATAGATGGGTAAATTTAGAGCAAAAAGTGAGGTCTATAAAGTGTGTATTTATTTAACCCAATGTATATATTGTACTAGCACATGATACCATATATAATTTTGTCAGCATTAGTAGCTTTTCAAACCCATTTGTAGTTGCATTGATCTTTGTTCAGAGGGGAAGTATAATCTTCTGTAGTCAAGACAATCTCACTTCCTCTATAAAATCCTTCCTGTATTGCTTCTCTTTAATTTGGTATTTAATTATATTGTTTTATCTTCATTGACCATTTAAAGGTGTGAACTGAGAGTGATTGAACAAAGCAAACTTGGCTGTTTATCATTTGTCAAACTGTCTCTATTGGCCTGTGTGAATATGAGATATCAATGTGTGACTGTTTCGTCTGAGCTCTTATAACAAGATTTTATCCATAAAGTTGTTTAATGTGATACTTGTGTAATTTGTCTTACAGTAGAATTATAAATAGACGTTTTCTCATTTCAGCCCTCCACAAACAGCATGGAAACACTGAAGTTGCAAGTCGTTATTTTCTAATAAATCTGATATATTGATGTCAGACAATAAGACATTGAAAATTGATTTTATTGATTAAAACATTTTCACTGACAGAATTCTTCTGAGGAGAAAAGAGACTGATATATATTCGACAGGAATTTAATTTATGACAGCAATGTTATGTCACAGAGAAAGCCAATGAAAAGCATCTGATTGGTAATAGACGTTTGCTGTAACCAATGAAATTTGAGAGTTCCTCTAATAGCGCTGTGGTAACTGGTATGGGTTTAAATACTCTGCTTGTAATTCAGTTTTTCTCTTGAATTGAAATCGTCTGACAGTGAATCCTCACATATAGACAGAAAGAAGATTCACGAGAAATGTGCCCGCGGTGAAAGATTATCTCACCGTCAGAGCTTAATAGCTCCGTTTACACGATCTTACGTCTGCATTTCATCAGAGAGACGTGATTCTGGAGAATGTAGGATTCGAGGAGTTGCACTTTCTGTACGGTAAGACGCGTCACGCTCTTGAGCTATTTAAACTAAGAGTTGTTTGGGGGGTCTTTTTTTACGTGTCGTGAGTGTTTCACGCATAGTTTCCTTGTTGCAGGCCGCCAGTCAATCGTGCTGAAGAATAACTTTGATCTCGGCTAGATTGTCTCCGATTTCCCTTACGACCATTTTAAACGTCTTCGTGTCACAGCTAATACATCCAAGTGAAATCAGCTAATTATAAGCCAACGTGTGCATATCACATTTATTCAAGTGAAAAATGCGTTCAGCTATACACGGTCATGAATCATGATCGAACGAACCGACGACACATATTGTAACTCTGTCGACTTGTTGCATTATTGTTGTACGCGCGCTCACGTTTCCCTCAATTACAACGATCTGAATCACTGAACATATTCGGTCTGCAACACTTGGCGAATTCGAATCCTGTTGTGATACCCAAAAAAATGCGTTTCAATGTTGAAGGCGCTTAAAAATGCGTTTTCAGACGCATGCAGCCTCTCTTGAATGATGAAGACCACCAGACAACAACCAAAGTAGCGAGAAAATACACTGTTTTAAGCGATTTTGAATACTTTTCCCTGTTAAATTTATTTTTTTATATATATGTCGGAACAACTATACGTTAGTTATTTGTAGTTCGTCGATTTGACTGAAATGTCAAACCACTGTGGCACTATCATAACAACTTTTTTTTTCTTTTTTTTAAATGAGTGTCATCGGCTCAAACGTTGGCGTTGAGTCTGGGGCGGGACTAGCTGTTTGTTCAACCAATGAGAGACGGATAAAGAGTTCCAAGGAAAACCTGTTTGATAACCGTCATTGGGTCTAAAATTCGAACTAATAATTGAGTAGATTATTAACAGGCACATTATTAATATGATGAATTAATGAAATTAGAGTGTTCATAATAAGCAACTATGCCTCAGGTTAGAAATTTGCATAAAGCACACCCAAACATCTCTATATCAGGGCTTTATTTTCCAAATGAAATTTCTATGTATGAAATTTAATCTTATCATGTAGGCCTAAAAGGCCACACAGAATATGTGCCATTTGCATGTGGCTTCAGTTCTTACATTTTTCTATAAATTTAGAATAGATTTTAGCATGAAAGTTATCTGATTAATCATGATTTGTTTGGCATTTATTTGTATTTTACTTATTTACATACATTTTTTTTACTGCATTTGCTTTCATTTGGATAAAGATGAATCAGTTTAAGATCAACTATCAGGTGTTAGAGTTTCATGTGCATAGGTGTTATTTGGGAAACATGCATCGCAACTAAAAGCAACCACTGATGCTGCCCACAACAGGATGTGTGGGTGCTTATAGGTGTTAGTGTGCATGTTTTGCCAAAGTTTCATGTTCACATTCATAAAAGGTGCTGTAGACACCTCAAAAACAAAGGAAGGAAGGGTGACCTACACATATGGTGGTAGCAGTGTAAAACCATACCTTTTAAAACCATTAAAAATCAAGATGAACAACATCTAAACTGACAAATTATTTCTTATTTATTTTGTTAACTCAAAAACAAATTATTTTGATCTGGTCGTTTCTGTTAGTGAAGAGGTAGTGTTGTCATCATTACAACATATACTGTTGAATATTGAGTCTAAAAGGTTGGGAACCACTGTACTAGATTACTCCGCTTTGACCTGGATAACTTCACAATCTTAAACTACACATGGCACCTAAAATATAGTCAAGATACGCACACCATTCTTTGCACAGATTTTACATTGTTTTTCTAGTTACATTTGTCGTGTTTAGGCTTGCATTTCAAGCGTAGTTCTTGAGTTACAAATTGGCTGACTCTAATTGTCTAATACCATTACGGTAATGTTGTACTGTAATGATATTAGATGTGACATTTAATGTAACGTGAGACGCACAATAGTAGCCAATGCTGAAACAGACCTGGCAAAATCTGTTTTTGAAAGCGTTTTTCCTTCTCCTTTCTACAGGCACAATGGTGCTGACAGAGAACGTAAGGCTTGACTTACCAAGTCTAAATTTATTGAAGCCCCAAGCAAGAGCCTGAAGAGCTGCTGGCTGGAAAGAAAATTGCATATCCCTTCCCTCCCCCATTAACTTTTACCTAAGCTACATTCTTTCACCGTGACCCTTTCTGGAAAGCATTCACTCTGTCTTTCCAAGATCCCTCCTGACCTTTTTCCCCCTTCTGTTTTACCAATTTTTGCCGGTCTCATTCTGCTTTTTATAACCACAAACCGCATTCTCCCCTAACTATAAGTCATGAGAAAACAAACATGCAACATTCTCCTGGTCTGCGGAGTCATCAGCTCCATCACAGTATTTTATCTTGGCCTCAGCACGATAGATTGTCCAAATGCCCGTTCTCGCGCGGCACAGCATGGGTGGGCAGTAAACCTACACGCTGGCAGAAACCTCAGTGACCCGTTACAACTCCCTGAGGAGTACAATGAGGAAACCCCTCTTATTTTCATTGGTGGAGTCCCTCGGAGTGGCACCACACTAATGCGTGCTATGTTGGACGCCCACCCTCTTGTTCGGTGCGGAGAGGAGACCCGGGTCATCCCCCGGCTGTTAGCCATGCAGGCCACCTGGAGTCACTCGGCACGTGAGCGGCTCCGTCTCAACGAGGCTGGCGTCACCGATGAGGTCCTGGACTCCGCTGTACGTGCCTTCCTGTTGGAGATCATAGTGGGACACGGCGAGCCCGCTCCGAGGCTCTGCAATAAGGACCCCTTTGCTCTGAAGTCCCTCTCCTACCTCTCCAAGCTCTTCCCAAAAGCGAAGTTTATTCTTATGCTTCGCGATGGCAGGGCCACTGTACACTCTATGATTTCCCGCAAGGTGACTATCACTGGATTTGACTTGACGAGTTACCGGGACTGTTTGGTGAAGTGGAACCGGGCAGTGGAGGTGATGTATGACCAGTGCCTGGCTGCAGCTGATGGCAACTGTCTGCCCTTGCACTACGAGCAGCTGGTGCTGAACCCTGAGCGGGTGATGCACAAGCTCCTTCAGTTCCTGGATCTGCCGTGGGACACCGCTGTGCTGCACCACGAACAGCTTATTGGGAAAGCTGGAGGAGTTTCACTGTCAAAGTGAGTGAGTTTGGTGCTTTGATATATTTGCTGTCACACTTTTGAGCGATTTTTGTTGCATTCACATGTGTGGTGATAAACAACAATATATATACCCTGTATTAAAATATTTTGTCAAAGTAAAACACTATGGACTGGTTTCACAGACAGGGCTTAGATTAAGCCAGGATTAGGCCTTAGTTTAATTAGGACATTTAAATAGCTTTTATAAACGTGCCTTAGAAAAAACATTACTGGTGTTTACTTGAGATAAAACAATGGCACTGATATATAGTAGTCAACATTTGAAGTGGATCAAAACCACAATTTTGAACAATACCCGTTCTTGTCTTAGGACAACTTTGATGAACTTTTTTGATCCACTTCAAATGTTGACTACTGTAATTTAAAGGTGCCATAGAATGCATTGGTACAGTATTTTAAATTGTCTACATAGGTATGTGGCTTAGGTAAGGGCAAAGATTCTCCAGATACGGTTTTACATGTCCATATACAACTCTAGGATTTGTCTCTAGAATAAAATGGGCTGTTATTACCTCATTTGGAAGGGTCATGAATAATAATGTTTAGCTCTGCTCTGATTGGCTGTTTCACAGATTTGTACGCAGGAGCTGTGATGTACTCTGAGAACTGAAGTATGATTATTTTGCACGTTTGTAACAAAAAAATATTTTAACAAATTGACTAGATGCATTGTCAAATGACAATCGTTTCAACTTAAGTGGTGGAGAAGGTCACGTTCGCTAGGGGCAAGTGAGCTATCTGTAAGCAACCAAACTAACCTAGTTAGCTCCTGAGTTATGTGTTGTTGAAATATAGGCTAAATTATAATACTACCCGACAAAAGGGATTGACATAGATGTATAGTTGTATTTTGTAGATTTATATGACAACACAGGCCGCAAATAATATTAACCTCCGTGTCAATTGGTTATTCATACTATTTAGTTATCTATGCCCGTTACTTGGAACTTGCTAGTTAGCTAAGGTTAACGTTACTGTACTAGCATCTTGAGTTCGATCTCGACAACAATTTAGGGTAAATTATCATTAATGTTGTTAGCTCACTGAGAAACTTTCGATTTAAACAGAAATGGCTTCAACAGTCAAGAAGTGAATAAAATCACTAATGTTACTTACTGCTTGCAGTAGGGGTTGTAATGGTAATATAGTTGGAATTTCCCCCTTCTTCAGTATCAAACGCTGAGCGAAGACTGCTTGATATTGTCCCAGGTTAGAAAAACTGTCAGTGGTGTAAGGCCTGCGCTCAATCGATCCAATGGCGGTATTCGATCAGCGGGTGAAGGTCTCTGCGTGTTACTGTCTTTCCGTGTGGCAAAGTATTTTGATTAAAGGTACAATATGTAGGATTTTTGCAGTAAAATATCCAAAAACCACTAGGCCAATGTTATATATTTTGTTTAGTTGATTACTTACATTATCCCCAATGTTTCCAACTATTTGTAAATCGTGAGAAAATTGCGATTTTAACCAAGGAAACGGGACGTGTCAGCAGGGGTGAGGAGTCGCGAGTCAATGGCGTCATATCCGCGTTACCCTCGGTTTCCGCTCGTACTGCCATAGTAACCATGGCGACAGACGTGGACAACTGGGTTATGCTTAGCAGGACGCTCACGCTGTTGTTGTTTTGTTAAAACATTATGGACCATGTCAAGCAGACTTTGAGACAAAAAGAGGACTAGAACGAAGATCAACATCTTTCGAGATGCCGCGAGCTCCACGTCCGCGACTAACTTCGACTTGACAGAGACGCGAGTGTTGCATGTACTTTGATTAGTTTTATGTACATTTTCTCACCTGTCTAATAATGTTATTTAGCTCAATATGATGAAATGTTAGAATATGATCTGTATGTTATTCTAATGTTGATCTAGCTTACTGCTAGTCTCATACAGCCAACAAACAACCTAACTAACAACATTTAACACACTCAAATGCCGTTTAGTGTGATAGTGTAACTGATAGAGAAAATGAAACAGCGCTTCTTTACCTCAAGTTTAATTCATCTAATAAACTGACCTGTGTGAGTAGTAATAAAGCACTTGCGTGTAGTTCGGTAGAGTGAAATGTCCTTATTCCTTTATATCCGCGAGACTTGCGTTGCGTGTGGCGCTGGTATCTGTCTCTCATTAGCACTCGCGCCCTGCTTCACACCACAGTCATGTTAAAAACATCAAAGTATCCACTCATCCATAAAAAGATCCATCAGCTTGACGACAAGATCCATAATTCCGCTTGATGCTTTGCGTCATCGATATACGCCTTTGTTATTGTAAGAGATTAGCGACCCCTGGTGGCCAAAAATTACATACTGTACTTTTAAATGAAATACATTTTCTCATTTGCATTTTCTCGTTATTTCATCTGACTCCATAAATGAAAAGGTTTTAATGATATCTGTGCATCATTAAATGTAAGCGAATGTTTGACTATTGTTTTTAACTCTTTACTGAAAATAATGTCAGAGTCCGTTAGAATAAAATCAAATGTTTACTATTTATTATGTCAGGGAAATGTATCATGCCAATTTCACAATCAGTTCAAAGATAATCAATATAATAACATCAAATGAGTAAAAGATGTTGGTTAAACCCGACATTTAGAAAAATACATGATGCTGAAGCCCTGATCGGGTCCTTCAACATTATGGACGAATCCGAGTTACAAATCGCCCGAGCCTTTTGCTGCATTTCATTATATAGACAGAAACCTCTTTCACATGGAAACATTTGCTAACAATGGAAATTTGCATTCAGAGGTTACACCTTTTGAGAGCAGAAGACCATTTGCCTGAAAGTCACACCCTTCTGCGTGCAATATATTTCTAAACTCTTAAGAACTTTATTACCTTTTGGTTTACTTCCTTGGGAATGAGACATTTGTACCAGTCAAATGATACCAAACATTTATAAAACTGTATGATAATTGTTCACATTAAAACTATAGATTTTGGGTGAGTTTCAGGTGATCTCAGCATGAGGGAGAAGGAGTGGGGGAGAGAGAAAGAGATGTATTCTGGGGTGAGACTTTTCGTCTCAAATGGTGATGCTAACTTCACCAGAGTGATTTCAAATGTTAATTTCCTTTGTTCTCTCAGAGAGTACTCTTCCAGTTCTTCCAGTTTTTCCAGTCTTACAGTGGTGAATTGGGCAGAGCAAACTAACAAGTTTGAATTAAAATGGTGTGATATCCTGTTGTAGATAAACATCACCCATGCCTGTTGACAGTTCTGTTCTGTGGGAAGGGTATGAAAAGTGCTCACATCTCCCGCACAGCCTGGAACATAACATTTATATCCATGATCTGCCATTTTCGCTATTGTCCTTGTTTGCTTTTTCACAATACCTGCAGAACCTTTGATGATTCGGCTGTGCAGGTCCATGTTAATACTGCCTGGCCTAGAACATGGGCTGGTATATGCAAATTTTGGGGCGTAAATATTACTGATCCCGACTGCAACGTTATGTTGGGATTCGCCCGTTTTTCAGTGGTCTTTTGCAAACATGAGATTTACATGGAGGAAACAATTGTGTTTGAGGCTCACGGTATGTCAGTTCCATATACAGAACTCTTATTATTCAACTATGCCAAGTTAAATACAGTTTTCCATTTTATGACACCTTTAAGATATGTCAGTGCAAGTTGCTTTTAGTTAAAACAGCTCAAACATGCATTTTAGTCTGAGACTAGCTTGAGCCGTGTCTGTGAAACTGGGGGTTAAATTAATTGTTTTAAATACTAACCGTGAATTTAGGCATCCCAATGTTAGAATGTACAGTATAAAAAAATGGATATTCATTTTGGAGGTTTTCTGAAGGTTACATTTAACAGTGTTAGTGTTTTTAAAGATTAACTTTTAACTGATAACCATCAATCAGTACGGTGGTTGTCATGTGTGGGGCTCTGTATTTGATACTGATATATACTTGAAAAAATATAAGTAAAATAAAAAAAAACTTTGTTCTATTTTAGTCTGACACCCATCAATATTTTAATTCACCATTTCCTTTTTACGTCTATGGCTTTTCCAGACAATGGGTCAGACATGCAGGTTTACGTTTCCTAGTCTAGAGCTAGATTTAGAGTTCTCTATGTAAATATGCCACTACATTGTAATACGATATGTAAAACAAATTGATTAGGGGTAAATAGGGTGTTTGTTTGACCAGCAAGCATTTTCAAAGACATCTGGTGAGCACTAATTTCGTCACAGTCCTATACTAATGGAACCAATGGTAGACGTTAAAAGTTCTCCCACTGGAATAAGTTGATTTTTAATTGTCAGTTTGTACTGCACTTAGCCTCTAGTCTAGAGGGCAGATTATTTTATTTTCATGATGTCTTAGACAAGCACTTAGGCCTTGTCTGCCATATTTCTAAGTCTATATGATTGTTCATTGTCTCTTTTATTCCTGTTTCTCTTCCAGAGTGGAACTGTCATCTGATCAAGTCGTCAAGCCAGTGAATACGGATGCTCTGTTTAAATGGGTGGGCAAGATCCCTGCTGATGTGGTGAATGAAATGGCCAGCCTTGCCCCGATGTTAAGCCGTTTAGGTTATGACCCCCTGGCCAACCCGCCAAATTACAACAAGCCTGATCTCTTATTTCTGAACAACACAAAGTCAATTGTGAAGTCAATCCAAAATTAAAAGGTCCTCTGTGAATACTTGGAAGCAATAAATATTGTGCATTTTATGAGCACGCAAAGCCTCTACTTAAGTTACCAACATGTAGGATGACAAAACGGAGCCGCGAGCACCTCTGTTTCTTATGGCGAGAGTTTCATAAAGTGATCAAATGTTCTAAAACCAAGTTTTAGTGATGTATTGTAAGTCATCAATTAAATTCAATTTAGATGTTTTGTGTTTTGTAGATGCTATGATGTTGCCAGTCTAATGACTGTATTGTGGTTGTTGTCTTTTTATTATTTTTGTACGTGTTAATGCATGCGTGTCGTGGCAAATGTTTTCCAAATGTGTCCGAATATCACACAGGAAACGATGCTTGTTGAAAGAGGAAGTCAACAGTTGCACAGAACTTGGTTTGTTCTCTATGACTGCAGGTGTATAAAGGATGTTTAGAAATGTTTCACATGCTTTTAAAGATGGTCTCATTTTGCTGTAGGCTTTTTATTATAAACTTATGAATAGCCTACTTGACAAATGTGTTCCAAATATGCAAGTGTGGGTATCTGCAGGTCAGAGTAATGCTAGTGCAGAAAGGTTGGAGTCTTGTCAAAAGTTCTTTACAATTTGTTACAATTAGTTTGATGGGTGTAGGTGTAGGGCAAGGGTTGAAGAACTTCGGACATGATCTCTGCTGTGGATGAACTCTCAGTCCTCAACATTCCTTCACAATAAAAGTCCAGTAGGCTAACATGACCAGTCAGTCTCATCATGTCACTTTTTGATGCGTGTTGTAACATACTTTTTGTTACATAAAAACCATGTATTTATTAAATGTTGGTTATTTCTAAAGAAACCCTGTGTGTACGTGTATGAGATACTATTATGAGATTATTATTATTGTTATGTGGTGTAATGAAAATCACATTTATAGGACTTTTAAAAACACTTTACTACCTTTTAATAGCGAATCTTATTGTTATCGCATTGAGGAAAGGAAAAAAAGGACTGACCCCGACGTGATTTGAACACGCAACCTTCTGATCTGGAGTCAGACGCGCTACCGTTGCGCCACGAGGTCTTGTGGTTAATTTGTTACTTTATATTAATTATATCATATCATACTACAATTTATCGACTTGGTTTATTTTTTCATGTCTTATTTAAGTTTTGGGGTACACATCTGATACTAAAACATTTCTCTAATGTAATTTGGCACCACACAATGAATGAACTGACGATAAGCTTGCCAGCTGCCATTTCATAAATGCATCACAGGATTTCGAAGACAAACTGTGTAGCTAATACTTCAGTCCACAAAGTGCAATTCTTCGGATTTTATTAAAGTCTGTCCACAAAGTGCAAGTCTTCGGATTTTATTAAAGTCTATCTTGGGATCACAAAACGTTTTCTCAATCTCAAAGCACGCTAGTTCCCAAATATGTTAATACAAGTATATAAATTAAAGACGGTAACTTGTGTATGATTTAATTATATAAAACTGGCAAGATAAAATTTTAATCGCTACAAAAAAAGTCACATTATTTGAAAAAGCACACTAGTATTTTACGGAGTCTACATGAATCCTATTGCTCAACATTTACTGCATGTCCCTGGTGGTCTAGTGGTTAGGATTCGGCGCTCTCACCGCCGCGGCCCGGGTTCGATTCCCGGTCAGGGAACAATGATTTTTTCTTCTTCATTTGATTACACTCTTCATATCAACTATAACACTATATATACACCAGTTGTTAAACAGTTTTTCTGAATTGCTAAAACACTAAACCTCATTCTCTGAACTAAATTCTCAATATCCTAAACCCATTCGTCGAATAAATCCAGGTATTTAAAACAATGTTTGCAACTGATGCACTTAGAGGGAACTATAGAGACTGTGACTGGACCACTTTCTTATAAAGTGACATGTGGATCAAATTCATGGCCGACAGAAATTGCTTATGAGACTTTCAGCGGAGGAAATGGACTGTAAATCTCCTGATTTTGACATGTTTGACAACTCTGCTTCTGTAGTTTCTAAAGAGACTGAGGAAACAGGGGCTGAGGACATACCTGGGGAAGTCAATCCCTTTGAAGCAGCTGGGGATTCCTCTCAAGCTGCTGAGTGGTTACAGGATTGTTGAATGAAGTTAGTATGGTGATTATGTTGTAAACTTGGGGGGAAGGGGATGTTGTAGAGTGAGCTTTTGTGTATTGGCCTTTAGGGGGCAATCTAATGCCGTTCGACTGTGAGAAGAACCTTCAGTAGTTCAACTGTGAAAAGAAGAACCTGTGAGTAGGTATACATGCATTCCACCTGGGCTGTTATCAAGTGTACTGTTGACTTTTGATGTTCCCTGAGTAAGTTAACTTTCTTGAACGGATTTGTCTCCTGCAAGTTATTACAGTTTCAAAATGCTAAACACAGGCAGGCAAAAGTTAAACACATCTACAACACAGTTGTACTACAATCACAGTTTACACACAACGACTCAAAATTGTTCACACTTATTTCTAATAAAGAGACCAACTGTACATAACACAAGTCAGAACCAGAGCCAAAACTGACTCAAAATGTTGCACTGATTGTTGATACCAACAATGGATGGAAACAATATAAGAGGGAGAGGAGGAAGAATATGTGTAAGAGGTGAACAAGGAGGAAGAGGATGGGGATGAGGAAGAGCAGGTGTGGAGAATGTTGTCAAGGCTGGATCTCCTTTAAGGTTTTTCCCTTTGCCTGCAGAGATGATAATGTCTGTGATGTGGACAAAGTCCTCCGGCTGGAGCCAACATGGAAGACATGATGCTGAAGCAGAATGAATCTCTCATTGACCTTGAACTTTCTGCAGTTGCACACAACTCCTCTGAGTGACTGTAACATGCTTTTCATTTAGAGTATTTTACTGTAACCTTTTTGGCTTTTGCAGTTTGGCCACTGTATTTTCACAGCAAGTGCTGAATAAACAGACATTCAATACTGTATTCAGTAAATACTAGCCTATAGGCTACTTGCAGTGAGTGCATACAGTATAAAAAATGTTCACCTTACGTAGCCCTAAGTTGTCATTAATATACTTTTTTTACGTAATTGCGAAACATGTTTACTTTGTTACAATATACTTTTTTTCTGTGTTCTTCATTTTTCTCTGATGATCTGTAGGCCAGTGTTTAGTATAATATTGACTAGCTGTGTGTAGGCTATGATCTGAAAGCAGTTACATCTGTCAGTTGCAGGTGCCATCATGTGCCAACTGATGGCATAGTCCCTCACCGTTTACATTAGACTCTGTTTTTCCCGGACTTCATTTCCCAGAATCCTTTGCTCATTATTAGTTTATCTGTTTCAGCTGTGTCTTGTTTCATTTGATCATCACGGTGTCTATTTAAATGCCTTCTGCCTTCTGCCTTCATTCAATATGAAGTCTTGTTTGGTTTACACTCTGTCAGTATTTTGAGCAGTTGTTTCTTGATATTTATCTTTTCCCGTGTTTTTGATTTCTTATTCCTGTCATCCATTGGATTTGTATTTCAGACTGGATACATGTGCTTGACCCTCGGCCTTGTATGGACTATGACCTTGGATTACATTTGATAATAAACTGCGTTTGGATTTTCACTCTGTCTGCTGAATGCTGTCTCACCAACACAACCAAATCATTACAGAAGACTTCATCGTCATTAATCCAGCAGTTGAACTAGTTCGTATGCGTCAAGGTAACCGCACACTCGAAGAACATACACATTTTCCTTGACATGGCAAATGCTTTTGATCTACCGGACTGTGCTCTCATAGACTTTTTCTGTTACGGACTTAACCCTCTTCTCAAGGATAAGCTAATTCATGATGAACCTCGAAGTTTGTTCATTGACTTTCTGGACTATGCATTATTGTGGAGCGGGTCCCAGTTTACTGTGGTAGATGGTGGCGCTTCGCCTAAACCTTTTTTTTGGGTAGGGGCTACGTGAGACGAGCTCCGATGGCCACGGAGCTTGACCAGCAATTTCCATCCGTGCCCACTCTAGTGCTAAATACCCCAGTGCTTACAACATTAGCCAGAACTGTCATGTCAGAGCCACCAGTAGCCATTGCAGTCATGTCAGAGCCACCAGTAGCAATTGCAGTCATGTCAGAGCTGCCAGTCACCAGTATAATCACGTCAGAGCAGCCAACTGCCAGCACAACCTTGCCTGATTTTTCAGTGGTCAAGATCAACAATCCAAGGCCTCATATTGTGAAAGAAACCTTTCAGTCTTCAGCCGTCATGGACACCATTCCTGTGTTCCCAGGTGTCGTTGACGCAGCGATTGAGGACGGCAAAGCTTTTTATCCACGTTGGGGCTTGATATCTAAGTTGGCAGATCTACCTCTGAGAATGGTCAGAACAGCAGGCTTATCAAAGCCGCTATCATCGAATATTTCTGTTGACACTTCTCTAATCCCAGAGTTCATCCCATCTTCCTCTGTGCTTTCAGTGATGGCAGTGGCGCTGTGGTGTGTTTGGTCGACGTTCGTTGAAATTACTTTGAATATGACAGTTGCACATAATTCAGAGGGTGTTCCAGTCCATGAATCTGTTCCTGAGTTTCTTCCTGAACCAGTCCTAGTTTGCAGATCTTTCCCTGATTCGGTTCCTGAGCCTCACGTCAGTCCTGCCGAGCCTGAGCCTCAGGTCAGTCCTGCCGAGCCTGAGCCTCACGTCAGTCCTGCCGAGCCTGACGGTACTGATCCACTTTTGCGACACGACTGAAGCGTGGTGTCGCACGCCTCTCCACATTTGTAAGTTGATGGGCGTTCCTCAAGTTTACCGCTATGGGCGTGGTTTTGACCCAGCGGCCAGTCTAGAACAAAGGCCCCTCGAGAGACTACTTCTATTGGATAGACGCGTCGCGTTTGGCGGATTCATTTGCATAAAGATGGGCATCGGTCAGCTTTTTGACTCGCAGTATTTTTCCAAATGAAGCGCCGCCTTCCCGGGATGCTTTGCGGGCGCGTTAAAGTCGCGTGACGTCACTCATAGGAATAAAGTGGAGTGCGGCGCAACTGAAGTGTCGCACGGACAAGTGGATCAATACCGTGAGCCTCACGTCAGTCCTGCCGATAAGATGGCCCCCGCCACGCTGTCTGTTCCTGTTCCCGAACTGTCTGGGCCGCCTGAAGGGTCGTCTCCTCCCTGGCCGCCTGAAGGGGTGGGGGTGCCACAAGGCTCCATTTTGGGCCCTCTCTTATTCAGTGTTTATATAAATGATCTTCCAGCCATTTGTCCTGAAGTTCACGTACAAATGTACGCCGACGACGCCGTGATATATGTCCATGCAAAACTAAGACAGAATGCAGCAGCTGTGCTCCAGGGAGCAATGGAAAAAATTTCAGATTGGATGGTGCAATCATGCTTGACACTAAATTTTAGCAAAACTGTCAGCATGTTTTTTTTCAATAAGGAATACTTATCACTCTGCGCCGGAAATTATTGTAAAAGGAACAAGGATTCACGAAGCAGAGTCTGTCAAGTATTTAGGCGTAGTGTTCGACAGGACACTGTCATTTAAAAAGCATGTTTCAAAACTGATAAAAACTGTAAAATTTAATTTATCGCAGTTCAGATATATTCGCCCGCAAATGAGCACAGATGCAGCCAAGCTTTATTTGCATGCGATGATATTGTCACATTTTACATATTGCATCACAAATTGGTCTTTATCAACCAACTCTGCGTTACAGCCGCTTCAAAGCTTGTACAAACAGGCACTCAAAATTTTAGATAAAAAACCTGTTTCATACCATTACTGTAACATTGTGAAGAAATATAGATTATTAACGTTTGAAAATTTTGTTTTGTTTTCGAATGTTAATTTAGTATATAAAATTTTTCATGATTTGGCACCACAGCCCCTGAGTATGTTTGTTAAATCATGTGAAGAGGTAGGACTTAGAACAACGCGAGCCACCTCCAGAGGAGACTGCTATGTCCACTTTAGGTCCTCTGCTTTTGGACAGAATTGCTTCTCTGTGAAAGCTGCAGGGATGTGGAACTCGCTGCCTTTAACTATGCGAGAGAGTAGCACCTTGCAACAGTTTAAACTTAACCTGAAGAAATGGTTGAAAGAAGGTCAGATTTGTGATCATTAGCACAAAACTGGTTAATTGGGATTTGGTTAAAAATGTAAGAAGGTAAATTTAAAAGGGAACTGTAAATAGTTGTAAACACTACTGGTAGTGCAATTGCATGTTTTGTTGAGATGATCCTTTTGCTGGTGTTTTATCTGTAATTTTGTATTACGAAAGGACTCATCATTGGAAATGCTCATTGTCCACTGTATTAACCTGCTGTCACCTTGCCTCTGTCCAGGGACTACAGATGAAAATTAGCTTCTAGCTATTTCTGGTCTGTGCAACACATTTATTGTGCAATGTCCCTGTTAAATAAACAAATAAAAAAAAATAAAAAAAAAGGGTCGTCTCCTCCCTGACCACCTGAGCCGCCTGGTCCGCCCTGCAGCCCTGAACCGTCTGCTCCGCCCTGGCCGCCCGAAGGGTCATCTCCGCCATGGCCGCCTGCACAGCCTGCTCCGCCCTGGTTGCCTGCCCTGCTGCAGTCTTCAGGTCCTCTTCCTCTCCATGATCCTGGCCCACCTTCCTGCCCCCGGATCCGCTCCACCTCCCATCTGTTTTTTAGCGTCTGGAAGCCGCTCCTTCGAGGGGGGGCTATGTTACATCTGTCAGCTGCAGGTGACATGTGCCAACTGATGGCATCCTAGTCCCTCACCGTTTACATTAGACTGTTTTTCCCGGACTTCATTTCCCAGAATCCTTTGCTCATTAATAGTTTATCTGTTTCAGATGTGTCTTGTTTCATTTGATCATCCTGTCTATTTAAATGCCTTCTGCCTTCATTCAGTATGAAGTCTTGTTTGTTTGCTGGTTTGGTTTACACTCTGTCAGTATTTTGAGCAGTTACCGGTTTCTTGATTTATCTTTTCCCGTGTTTTTGATTTCATCCTCTGTGGATTGGATTTGTACTTCAGACATGGATACATGTGCTTTACCCTCTGCCTGGTATGGACTACGACCGTGGATTACATTTGATAATAAACTGCGTTTGGATTTTCACTCTGTCTGCTGAATGCTGTCTCACCACCACAACCAAATCATTACAAAAGCATTGTTTGATTTTGAGCCCAAATAAAATAGTTTGAGGCAATAGTTTTTTTTTGCCAGAAGATTCAGAGGTTCTCTGAATGTGGTTTGAAAATTTGGTTTTGTGTTTAAGGTTTTTGAGAAAGTGAGGGATGGTTTTAAGAAATGTGTTTTAGCAATTCAGAAAAACTCTAACAACATAATTATTTGCTGATCCACTTTACCTGAATACACGTAAATGGAACGTCACAGTAAAGCCTAGCAAGCTTATGCAGACTACATAACAAGGCACAACGTTTCACGTGCCAGAACTCACAAGTACAAGTCACACTCTTCAGAATTAAAATAACCATAAACGCCAATGACATCCGGAAGAGCGCGCGCCTAGCCTCCTCACGCACGCGATTGGCTGAGGTGTGATAATAATGTGATAAACTGAGTTCCATCAGTGCGCTCGGTTCAGATCTCCAGCTACAGTATTGGCACGGTAAGTTCATGCAATTTTACTTGCGCATTTATTGTCTTTCGTGTTGTTTTTGTACTGATCGTGTCATGTTACCGCGTTTAAAGCATAGTTTGAAGAATATTGCACCGATAAGAAAAGCATTAAACGTTGAGCATATCTGATAAGATAATGAGATTTAGCTGTAGAGTTCATTAAGTAGGCTAAGTTATATCAAATAATGTTTAAACTTTTTAAAAGAGGAGAAAACGTGTTAGTTATATCGCTTTGACGTGGCTTTAGTTTTTAGATGGAATATATTTGTTTATTTTGGCAAGTAGGCTAATGCATTTACAATTCAAATTCGGAATGCCGTTTTTGTCACATATAACGTCATATGCAAATATTTGCAAATAACGACCTTAATAGTGTGTTCCCATCTAGAGATCACGATGATATTACAGTTTTTTTTTTAAATGCTAAAAAACACTCAACCCCATTCTCTGAACCAAATTCTCAATAGCCAAACCAATTGGTCGAATTTAAATCACTCTTTCTGTAAAATATTAAACAAGTTCAGGTTAAAACACTGTTTGCAAATCTCATGCACTCTTTTTTCAAAACTCTAAACACATTTTCACTCACTAAAACACATTCGCACCGTGATATGTTTCAAAATGCTCAACGCAGGCAAAGTTAAACACAACTACAACACAGTTGTCATCTTTTACACACAACGACTCAAAATTGTTCACACTTATTTCTAATGATGTGATCAAACCAACTGTACATAACACAAGTCAGTTCAGAGCCAAAACTGACTCTGAATGTTGCATTGAATATTGATACCAATAATGGATGCTAACAATATAAGAGGGAGAGAAGGAAGAGTATGTGTGTAAGAGGTGAACAAGGAGGAAGAGGACGAGGAAGAGCAGGTGTGGAGAATGTTGTCAAGGCTGGATCTCCTTTATGATTTTTCCCTTTGCCTGGAGAGATGATAATGTCTGTGATGTGGACTTTTTGTGATGTGCTTTTCTTCTCCTCCTCCTCATCCTCTGATGCTGAAGCAGAATGAATCCCTCACTGACCTTGAACTTGCAGTTGCACAACTCCTCTGAGTGACTGTAACATGCTTTGTATTCTTTTTGGCTTTTGCAGTTGGGTCACTGTGTTTTCACTGTATGCAAGTGCAAGTACAGGCATTCAATGCTATACAATATTCAGTACAATACTATACTTGCAGTGCATACAGTATACAATTTATTCACCTTTCTACTGTAAGTTGTCATTACGATACTTTTTTACATAATTGCAAAATTTGTTTACTTTGTTACAATATACTTTTTTTCTGTAACTGCATTATTTGGGTTCTATGTTCTCCATTTTTTTATGTAGTGTCTAATGAATGATCTGTAGTGTCTAAAGTATTGACTCGCTGTGTGTATGATCTGAAAGCATTGTTTGATCTTGAGCAGAGATAAAATGGTTTTAAGGCAATTGTTTGATTTTGCCAGTAGAGTCAGAGGTTCTCTGAATGTGGTTTGAAAATGTGTTTAAGGTTTTGAGACAGTGAGTGATGGTTTCAAGAAATGTGTTTTGGCAATTCAGAAAAACTGTAAAATGAAAGGAGTAAAAATACGAAAGCATAGGACTCTCTGACCTACAAATAGTTCTAATATTTTAAACTTGCGTGTGAAAGGGTTAATATAATGTAGCATGCCAGTAAATATATGCTACTCAGTGAGATTTTTGTGATTCATGCACCTGACCTGCGTAAACGATTATGCCCTTTTTGCATGCTGTTTTAAATGTACAGTAAATGTAAAATATTAAATATCAGATCTCTTGTATCAAACTCGCTGCTAGGTGGAAATTAACCTTTCATATCATTGGATAACATTTGAATATTCCTTGTACATCCAAAAGTAATTTTCCTATTTTTTCCCCATTCACCCCTCTGCTTCTGTTCCAATTTGTTTGTGTTTCCTTCTTCATTTGCACATTATTTAGCTGTTTTCCTTTCTAATATTTATTTTAAATTAACTACAAAGTAATCTTGAGTCCTTGCATTCATTTCAGCAGTCTTGAACTCTTGGAGTGTGTGTGTACTGTAAAGGTATGGCTGTTTTCGACTCACACATGATTTCCATTCATAGGCCGCACCTTTTAATTCTTGGGAACTCTATGCTGAGAAATGGATGGCTTTCATGTGACCATTCGAACCTCAGCATCTTCTCTCTCAGGAACGTATGGCAGCGTTTGGATCTCGTTGGTTGGTACTCTGTGCGAGAGCCCTCCAGTAAAAGTGGACCAGCGTCTCTTGCCAGACTCAGTAAGACATTCACCTTTTTTGAGAAGACATCACATGGCTCTAAACACAAATGAAATTAAGGAAGTTAACAGTAGAGGTTTAACAGTTTGCAAAAACAGTGAAACCATAAGAACATAAGCCTATACAGTTTCAGAAATGAACTTTTTTTATTAAGGGACAGTATTTGGCTTTTACTTTCATGGAGGTATATACTTTTTGAACCACATTAACATTGTCCCTATTTATGTCTAAAACTAAAAGTCTCATTCATTTCAAATACATAAGTAGTTGCAATGCACAAGATATTACAACACAGATATTCAATAATTATGTTTGATTATGTACGCTACTGTTCAAAAGTTTGATATGTATTTTTAAATATTGTGAAAAGCAAAATCGTGAAATATTATTAAAATTTAAATTAACTGTTTTCTATTAGAATATTTTACAATTAAATTTATTCATCTGGTGGCAAAGCTGAATTTTCAGCATCGTTACCCCAGTCTTCAGTGTCACATGATCTTTCAGAAATCATTCCAATATGCGGATTTGCTTCTCAAGAAACATTTCTTTTGATTATCATGTTGAAAAAAGTTAAAATTTTTTCTGTAAACCCTGAGACATTTTTCAGCATTTTTTGATGTATAGATGGTTCAAATGAACAGCATTCATTTGAAATAGAAATCACGTCTTAATAAATAAAATGCCACTTGATAAATAAAAGCTTTAGTTTTTTTTATTTTTTAAATCGCAGTTACCCAAAACTTTTGAACGGTAGCGTATTAAACATAGACAACGTGCAAGAATGTTTAGCAAGCACTTAACAACCCAACACCCTTAATTTATACACTTACACACACTTGCAACCGCAAAAAAAAAAAAAAAAAAAACCCTCTCCCTTTCTCCTCTTCTGCAGCTTGCTTTCTTATCTGATTCTCTAATAAACTTGCCATTACTTTATATAATTGGCTCTTTGACAAATTGTTTTTTTTTTCCTCTTTTGTAAGTCAGTTTGGATAAAAACAACTGCTAAATGCATGAATATAAATATAAATAATCTAAAAAAACATAGTATCTAACAGCTCCAGTTCACTCCAGTACCTGCTAAGGCACTTGAACCCACACTAAACCCAACTAAATATGCCTAGCATGTAATATATCAAATGACATATATCACTATGGTAGCAGTCTTTAATACTGTGATCCCATAGTAAATTAATCTAGCACGAATGCAATGCAAATGTGCTGTTTTTCTTTTTGAGACAGGCTTGTACAGTTGTCATCAAGCCTAAAGAGGAAGTTGGTGTAGTGGTTCTGTTGAGACTCCGTCTTGAGGCTCAGCCTGGCTTTCCGGACCTGGACTGGCACTGTCGGGATGTGCAGGTGAGACGGAGTTCTGAGGATCCTGAGATGGAACTTTTTCCTTGCCATAAATGGATCCGGACAGCAGATGGTTGCATTGAGCTTCGGAACGAGAAAGGTGAGCTGTGTCTGTTTATTTTCTTTCTTTCTTAAATAATTTTCTTTACTATATATCAAATTCTCTCTATCTTTCCCAAAATTCCTTTAGCCTGTCTGAAAAAGGAGGAAACATTAGCAATCCTAACCGATCATAGGGAGAGGGATCTCCAACATAAACAACAGTTTATCAGGTAAAACATTTTTTACACATCAATTAGAGCTGCACGATTCTGGATAAATTTAGAATCACGTTTTTTTTTTTTTTTTTAATTGAGATCACGATTCTCCCACGATTCTGAACAGACAACTAAACAAAATAACACGTACTTTACCAGAGGCTCTGAGAAATTGTTAATTGCTGCAGTCTATTTGAAATGTTTAATTCATTTGAATAAATTATTTTAAAAAATCGAGTTGAGTGAATGATTCAATGAATTCACTCATAAATACTTTGCTTGTTTCATTACTGGATGAAGCACCATGTTACTTTCAGAAGGTGATTTGCTCTATTTATGATAGCTTCCAGAGACATCATTGTTTATATCCAAACTATAAAAAAATTTATCATTTCTTTTGTTGATAATTTGAATATTTGCAACACAGAAATAACAATAGTGTGTGGTTGAAAAGACTGTTTGTGAAGCTGTTTCATACCTATACATGATAACTGCTCTCTCTGGGTCAGCAGCAGTGCGAATTTGAATGTTCTGGTGTGATTTTATCACATGTTTATCAGACACAGGCAAATCGCTGTCATTTATCGTGTGAACGTGTGTGTGTTTAATATGGAAGTAAAATAATGCCAAATGTTTTTGAAACAAAAAGCCTGTTGAATTGCACTACTTGAAAAAAATAGTCATTGCATTAACCATGCTTGCATTTTAATGCATTGTATTTTTAGGTCTTGCATTTTTATGGGGTGAAATTCAGCATGGTTGAATATTTAAGCTGTGAATATTTCAATTCAAAACATTTCAAGCACATTTTCAATTTTCATTTAAAAAAAATCTATAATTCATATTCACCTTTCATATTTCACTTCCAAAATATTCAAACTGTTTAAAAATACAACCTATAATATTCAACAGGCAATTTTCGGTCCATTTTATTTCGCTTCGCAAATTCGCTTCCACAAATTCAGTGGTTCAAATTCAACATTGACATTCAGGAACTGCAGGAAAAGCAGTAGATTACCGAGCATAATCTCCATCTGCTGTTAGTGGACCTCACCAGCAGTGTGTTGTTGATGAAGACCAGAGCAACAGTTAGAGCAAGCCATTCATAAAAACTCATTTACAGCAATTGAGCATGCATTAAGTTTTTGTGATGATTATCTGGGTCAGTATATATGCGGAAAAGATGATAAAGACAGAAAAGCTGTGTTTAAGTTTCATTCAATAACTTCATTGTTACTTCCATGTGTAGCCTTACATGTTATCAGCTTTCTCTACCATGAACAGGATTATAATCGGTTTCCCTCAATACCTCATCATACTCAAGGATTCCCCTTCCGTCGGGACAAAACGCTTAACATAGCTTAATGGACTAATTCAGAAATATAAAAGACCAAAGCAGGCAGATTGACTCAGAATATGAACTTAACACGCTAAGTTTCATTCTGAGCGTTTCCCAGTTATATACTGACATAAAATCAACACTTGATCAATTAATACTAACACTTTCTCTTATATATATATATATATATATATATATATATATATATATATATATATATATAGCAAAAATATGTTGGGAGATTTGTCACCATGGGTGTTAAAACTATCACTTTCAGGTTGAACATACAGGTCCATCTTTGCTAGTGTTAAAACAACACTAACGAAAGTGTTTATTATTCAAACACTGTGTTAGTGTTTCATTTAAATCACTCAAGGTGTTGAGAAATGATAACTCGTAAGTATACACTTTATTGGTGATTAATCACACAACCCCAGTGTATTTTTATGTTGATTTAATGTAAATAATGTAAATACTTATTTTAAAAGGGTAATGCAGATGAAATTTTTCCAAAATCCAAGTGAATATGAATGTATTTGAACATTCATTAAAATTGGAATATATCAAACATACAATTGAATAAAACAGCTCTGTTAGTCTCCATAGCATCTTAACACTGGTATGAAAATACACATTCATTATGATAAATATTTCTTAAATATAAATCTCTACTGAGTTTCAAACCAAAAAATTTTTTGTGTAAAAATGTAGAAAAATGAGTCAGCACCATAGAACATCTGTACATGTTGATATACTTTGTCAAATAATCTGCTTAGAGATTTTCAATAGAAAGTTTTTTTAACAAGTAAACAATAACATCTTTAAATTGAAAATACAACAACAATTTAATGTCATCTTTAACTCATCAATGTTAAACAGTGTCTGGTTTGAAAATACACATTCATTCTGATAAAATATACTATTCCTTTACAGGCTAAATAATCACATAAATTTCTACTGAGTGTTTCAAACAAGTTCATTTTTTGCAACTATGTAGAAAAATTAGTCAGCACCATAGGACATCTGTGCATCAATTAAGTTGTCTTTGTTCACTACTCCATACATGTTGAGATGCTTTGTCAAATAGTCCGAGGCATGGACCTGTTTAATAAACGTCGACTCGTAGTCTTTTAACAACAAAAAACGTGTTCTCTGAGCAATAATATATTTAGTATTTTGCTGAAAACAGGTATTTCATCAACAATATCAGAACACACGAAAAGGCCAACTCTGTACTCTGCTCCAGAGCATTTTACCCACTTTGTATGTTGAATTTCAGTTTGAGAATCAATGCAAAGATGTTCAGAAATCTCTTTAAAATGATCCAAACACAGAAGTTTATGTACCTTCACTGGTCCTGATTCCAGAGAATTGTATTGAATTGAATCGAGGAAAAATGTGAAAGATGGATGTGGACTTCTTTGGGTCCTTTACAATCTGCTGTCTGCTGACGGTACTGAAAAGTTTCTTTCATCTTCCAGAAGATGATATCACGATCAGTGCTGTGTTTAAGCAGTGAGATCGCTTCCTGGCAATCATCGCCTGTTAGCTGATCTGTAAGGCAGATATTTTCCTCCATTCTAGGACCACAAGTTTCCTCATTTGATCGAGAGGGCAACTAGTGAACTAGTGTTTCTCTGAACCGTCTTTAGGCGATTCATAATAAATCCTGTGCCTCTCTGTGTGTCATATTGTTCCTGTTAAAGAGACAAATTTGGGTAAAACGAACGCATTAAAAAAAGCTAAAAAAAGAGAGATCACTTCCGGCGCTTGTGCAGACCGAAGCGCCCGCGCCCTCAGATCACTTGGACGTGGCTGTGTTTATAAGAGGTAAAAACGATATAAATACTGTTCGTTTTCTCACACAAACCGCTCGTTTTGTGTCTTAGGCCATCAATGTGTACTTGCATTTACGAGTCATTAAATCATGTTTAATTTGGACTTCTCTGTGCATGCTCTTTGAGGAAGTGACCGTAGACCTGCATTATATGACTGACAGACAAGAACGGTTTGACCTAAAAATATCAAAATTGAAACTACTGCGGAAACAAAGACACGTACATCTTGGATGCCCTTGAGGTAAGCTAAAACATACCAAAAATTAATTTCAAAGTGAACTATCCCTTTAAGTGGTATCCTTCTGGAATAATAAACAATATACCATTAAAAAAACTAGTCTATTCTGCTCTGTTTACTCGGGGTAAAAACAATAGCATCTATAAAAACTGTTCTTGGTACACTTGGCGTAACAAGGGGTGACAAAGCAATATTAATGTTACAAATATTACAAAATTTCTGTCTGTTTCTCAAGCCCAAACTGATTGGATCACTTTAGAAAACATGGGTTAAGCAACTAGATAATGTATTTATTTAATATTAACTTCATCTGTGTTTCACAGGCAGGGTCACATTTGAATAAGTTGTTAGTACAGTGATATGGACAGATTAAATGAACAAAGCTTACCCTTCTTGTTCATTCATGTGTGCAACCAATATATTAATCGTCTCCTTTCTTTTGGATGTTGACATATTACCAGTGTCTTTATAGTGCTGCATCACTTCTACACCACCAGGTTTGCACTTTAGGATGTCTTCAATGGTCTAAACAGACAACACCAAAATGTACACATTGTCTATAGAACAGCATTTTTTGATAAACTGGAGAACATTTTCTTTAAGCTGGGTTAGATCCCTTGTCTTACCAACCTCTTTTGCAAGCTTGGAATCACCCAACCTGGGTCTTTTGGAAGGGAATGCAGAAGTTGTGTTGCCTTCATTGCATTCAGAGTTCCCTGACAGAGACTTGCTGACAGAGTTCCCATCAGTCAGGAGGGGGGACAACTCATGTGCAGAAGTGGAATCTGTATACAGTATATAAAAATATTACTTGCAAAAATGTAAACACCACAATTTTAAAATAAGACCAAAAAAGTATAAACATAATTACCATCATTAGTATGTAAACTAAAGCACATACCCCTTTCAACAACAAGTTCAGGAAATACATCCACGTCCACTTCTGTAGAGGTGTCATCCGTTACCTTCAAGGGTTAGTTCACCCAAGAATGAAAATGATGTCATTAATGACTCACCTTCATGTCGTTCCAAGCCCGTAAGACCTCCGTTCATCTTCGGAACACAGTTTAAGATATTTTAGATTTAGTCCGAGAGTTTTCTGTCCCTCCATTGAAAATGTATGTACGGTATACTGTCCTTGTCCAGAAAGGAAATAAAGACATCATCAAAGTAGTCCATGTGACATCAGTGGGTTAGTTAGAATGTTTTGAAGCATCGAAAATACATATTGGTCCAAAAATAACAAAAACTACGACTTTATTCAGCATTGTATTCTCTTCCGGTTCTGTTGTCAATCCGCGTTCAGTGATGCTGCTGACGTAAGACGCTGCTGACGTGTTATCTGGTGCGCCCGAGCTTCGTTTACAGTCTGAGGGAGACGCACGCTGTAAACAAAACAATCTTCGCAAACATTTCTAAGGATTTCGATACAGAGGAAGACTTGCATTTTTTTGCCCAGCCATATTTATTTGAACCCAAATACATGGACGTACCAGATAACACGTCAGCAGCGTCTTACGTCAGCAGCGTCACTGCGGACTCGTGGACGCGGATTGACAACAGAACCGGAAGACAATACAATGCTGAATAAAGTCGTAGTTTTTGTTATTTTTGGACCAAAATGTATTTTCGATGCTTCAAAACATTCTAACTAACCCACTGATGTCACATGGACTACTTTGATGATTTCTTTATTTCCTTTCTGGACAAGGACAGTATACCGTACATACATTTTCAATGGAGGGACAGAAAGCTCTCGGACTAAATCTAAAATATTTTAAACTGTGTTCCGAAGATGAACGGAGCTCTTACGGGCTTGGAACGACATGAGGGAGAGTCATTAATGACATCATTTAAATTTTTTGGTGAACTAATGGCGCTTTTCCACTGCTGGTACGGCTCAGTACGGTTCGGCTCGGCGCGACACGGTTTGGCTCGCTTCGCTTTTCCACTGCTGGTACGACTCGGCTCTGCACGGCACGGCTCGCTTTAGCTCGGTTTGCTTTTCCACTGCAGTTGAGTAGCCCCAGAGTGCAGTCTGGACGATGGGGCGGGGCGACACTTTTGGGCGGGGCGACACGTGTCGCTCCGCCCACACCTGATTTTATTGGCTTATAATACAGCACTCTTATTGGCGTAGATGCTTAAGGCATGAGCATGCGCATTCCATTATGTACGAGTCTATGGTAGGAGTTTATGGATGATCTACGACGCTGTTTGGCCATAGCCTACTACAGAAATATTAAGTTATAACCATGGCGATTTCCTATTTCAGTAACGATCAATTGGATAATGTTTTGATGAATTTACGAATCAAGTTAGATGAAGTTCCTGTCAAAATGTATTCGTATAGCGCTCAATTCACATCGTTTCAAAGCAGCTTTACAAAAAGTATTATTGTAAGCTTTATAGGCTATAATATTGAGCAGTTTTAGGGCTAGGCGATATCACGAAATAGCCTATGTTGCTGATGATACACTGTTTGAGATTTAGCCTAGATACTATTGTATTTATTAATTTACCCTGGAGATAAAGTCAGTGCCACTTTTAGTGAGCAATGATCATGACGGCATGAAATTACTGGCATAGAAGGAGAGATAATTTCTATAGGCTGATTTAGGCTAGACAATATTTTTCCGCATTTCATGCAGTGCTCCGGAATTTTACATCATTCGTAAATGCTTCTTCGTTTTTCCATTAGGATCAGTGAATAAACACAAACTCGGGATTTTACACAAATGATGATAACTGTATTTCAGTAAAACATTGTATAAATCCAAAAGTGTGTTTTATTTTATTTTAAAGCAAAACCACGGTGACAAATAAGACAATGATAGGCTACCAAATAGCATACAAGCCCTGGCCATTGGGGTTTGTGCGTAGGCTACAAAAGGAATAAAAACCGTGCACTGCTGAAATGTGGGAAAAAATATATATATTTATTTACTAAAACAGATTTATTATGTCGATCTAGGCTATAGCAAATATTATTATATATGTGCTCAAGAGCGTATTTAAGCAATATGCCTACATGTTCATATCACTTCTCTGCTGGGTATTTTATTTATTTTATTATAGGCCTTATAATTGCACAGATTTACAGCAGTGTTTTTTTATGGTTATGCAGCTAGCCTATATGTGAGTGTTAATATTTAAAACCATTTTTATCCCGTAGCCTATACTACGCAGATTAAAACATGGACATGTAATGCGGGGGTGGATAAATAAATTATAGGATTTTTATAATGTCGCAGTCACAGATAGTTGTAGCTAGCCAACATGTTAACTAGTTGACACTTATTAGAAAACATGAATCTTTTAAAACTATAACATAGGGCTTTACAGAACCATATATAGGCCCTCATTTTATTAACAGGTAAACAACAATGAAACATGAGTTTGCCATTAAACATTTTATTTTGCACTTTGTAGCCTACCAAATAATGCACGCATTGGACAACATCTCGTTAAAAAATGAAACAAAAACGGTCGTGCTTTAAAAATTAAAATCAGCTGCTACATTCTTATAGTGAATTATCATCCTTTGCGTAAAATCCCGAGTTTGTGCTGATCCACCGATCCTGATAGAAGTATAAAGAAGCCAAGTGAATGACGCGCTATAATGTAAAACATCTCACTGAAGTAGGCCTACAGGTGCTGTGTCACCAAGCGTTCGTTTTTAAACAATAACTTAATCAATTCTGTGTCTTAAGTACAATAAAACAGCAATAGATCTTAACTAAAATCACCATGGTAAACCGATAAGATAGCCATACGATTAAAGTATTTAATAGTTATTTAATACGGCCAAATCATTAATAAAATCGCACTTAAAGGAATGCGCATGCTCAGACCTGAATCGTCTACACCAATAAGATTGCGGTATTATAAACCAATAAAATTGGGGGTGGGCGGAGCGACACGTGTCGCCCTGCCCAAAAGTGTCGCCCCGCCCCATCGTCCAGACTGCACTCTGGGGTACTACCTGCAGTTAGTACCGCTTCAAAGTGGGTGGGATTATAGTCGGACCGTTATAGTTTATCCGCTCCTCGGCAACCAACGAGACGAACGTCTGCACTTCGTCCACTGACCACGATTCAGCCATTTCTTTTTTATGGAAGTTTTCTTTCTTTCTTTTTTCTTCAAGCAAGTCAAGCAAGTAGTTTTAAAACAGGTGCTACAGCGGTGGCTGTTGTCTACTGGCTATTTAAATCTAGTGGGTTTAGTGTCTCGTGTCACAAATACAATGACGCTGATAGTGACGATTCTGTCTCTCTGACCAATCAGTGATCTGTAGTGTTTTCACGTCACATTTAGTATCGGTACGGTACGCTTGGAACCTCAACAGAGCAGGTACCATTTAAAGCGAGCCGAAGCGAGCCGTACCGTACCGTACCATGCAGTGGAAATGCGCCATAAGTGAGCCGTACCGAACCGAGCCGTACTGTACCATGCAGTGGAAAAGCCCCAAAGCGTGCCGTACCGAACCGTACCGTTCCATGCAGTGGAAAAGCGCCATAAAGGGTTAGTGTCTGTTCTCGAATGGCAAATTATTTTTTTGCAGTAAATCAATAACTTCATTACTACCCAAAAATATTTATTAATCATTAAGACATCAAAGTACTTTGTGCATTTACTGTATAATATAGCTTCATTTACAGACTTTCCTTCCGTGACAAGGAAGATAACCGTGTAGCCTAACGGTTGGCTACACAGGAAAAGTAACCGTGAAGACACTGAATTTAACATAAAACAGCCGTCATAATAATCAAAAATACACTTACATTGCTGTAAATGTGTTTTTATGAATGAATGGCTTGCTCTAACTGTTGCTCTGGTCTTCGTCAACAACACGCGCTTTTGCACCTCCTGCTGGTGAGGTCCACTAACAGCAGATGGAGATTATGCTCGGTGATCTACTGCTTTTCCTGCAGTTCCTGGATGTCAATGTTGAATTTACTGTCGAATTATTTTTTTACAGTCTGATTAGAACCAATGAATTTGTGGAAACGAATTTGCAAAGCGAAATAAAATGGACCGAAAATTGAATATTATAGGTTGTATTTTTAAACAGTTTGAATATTTTGGAAGTGAAATATGAAAAGGTGAATATAGATTATTGAATTTTTAATAATGAAAATGTTTTTGAAATGTTTTGAATTGAAATATTCACAGCTGAAATATTCAACCATGCTGAATTTCAGCCCATAAAAAATGCAAGACCTAAAAATACAATGCATTAAAATGCAAGCATGGTTAATGCAATAACTATTTTTTCAAGTAGTGCAATTCAACAGGCTTTTTTGTTTCAAAAACATTTGGCATTATTTTACTTCCATAGTTTAAATCTAGATCACAATCTTTTAATGAATAATTGTGCAGCTATACTTGTCCTTCCATCTTTTTTATTAGTTAAAAAATAAGTTGTTTTTTATCTGTAGGTGGGGCACATTTGTTGAAGGCGGTCCTCACTGTGTGAACATGTCCAGAGTGACAGCTCTAGGGCTCAACTTGAGTTACATCCGTCAACGGTATGGTTGCACTGTATTATTGATTCAATTTAAACTAGTTTAATATTAATTCAATCTTATATCACCTGAACTGAAATTCACAGTGGGATATTTTCACTTTGTTTGTCTGTCAGCCCAGTTAACAATGTGCACTACATAAAGGGTTTTATTGAAAGAAGAACATCTTGGAGCAGCCTACAGGAACTTGAGACATTTTTCCTTTTCAATGGAAGAGAGAACACCATTGCCAGTATGCCAAACAAATAAATTGCATTTTACAAATTACGGTAATAAAAAAATATATATATACATATATGATTTTTTTTGCTGTGCATTTTTCTCGTAGGATATGTTCAGGATCACTGGCATGAGGATGCATTCTTTGGATATCAGTGCCTAAATGGCTGCAATCCTTTGTGTATCAGACAGATCCATAACCTGCCACCTAACCTGTCTGTCACTTCAGAGATGGTCAGACCTTTTCTACCAGAGGACTCATCATTGGAGCAGGAGATGGAGGTGTGTTTGGGTGACTTTTAGGGCATTTGTATTCATAACTTTGTAACATAATTGTCATTGTTTATTACTTATATTTTCCACAGAGAGGACATGTGTATCTTCTGGATTTTGAAGTGCTTGATCAGCTGCCTGCTAATATTATCAATGAGAAACAGACATACTTGTCTGCTCCCTTATGTTTGCTGCATTACAACAGACATGGAGAACTAAAGCCCATTGCCATACAAGTATGGTTTTATAACGACTTGTTATTGTAATAGTCAGCAATCTGTGAATAGTTACGCAAAATTCCTTTTGGCTGAGTTTCATTGACCAAATGAAAGCTGATATCTTAAACTATACTTATATTTCAGCTTCAACAGGTTCCTGGTCCACAGAATCCTGTTTTCTTGCCCTCTGATGCTGCACCGGATTGGTTGTTAGCAAAGATGTGGGTCCGTAATTCAGATTTCCTGGTCCATCAACTACTTTCCCATTTCTTGCGCACTCATCTTTTAGGAGAGGTGTACTGTACCGCCACGCTCAGACAGCTGCCGGAGATTCATCCTCTACACCAGGTAGAAACAGACAATGCTCAGCCCAAAGATACAGAACAAATTAATTCATCTTCTCAGCAGAACAGTTATTTACAGAAGCCCTGAAGGCAAAGGTGAAATAATTTCCTATTTATTTTTTATACTGTGTGAAAAATGTGTTTCAATTATTCTACACACATATCTGCCACATAAGAAGGAAATGCTTTGGTAAATTGTAATTATGACATAAATGTCATAATTATTGCATAAAACGTCAAAATTATGAGAGGAAAGCCATAATTAAAAAAAAAAGTCTTATTTTATAATTATATGGAAGCCCATTTCCGCCATATACTAAACAAATATCAAGCTTTGGTAAATTATAATTATGACATACTATATCAAAAATATGCATATAATAGATTGACTTATATCATTGACTTTTTAATGTAATGATTTTGACATGATTTTATATCATGATTTAGACTTTTTAGAGACTTTGTCTCATAATTGTTCTTTAGAATGTCATAATTTTTATTATGACTTACTATGTCATAATATTGACTTTGTATCTCCATAGTTTTATTCAATGGCCAATTTTATGTTGGTTCAACTCAATTTATTAAAAAAAATTAAATGTTAAGTTAATACAACTTGCAATTACTTAGTAGATTCTATTCTGTTCAATATTTTTAAAGTAAAGTATGATGAGTGAACTCATATATTTAAGTACAACAAAGGTTTTCTTGTTCATTTTTAATAAATTTGATCCAAGTTGGATTTACTTAAAATAAATACAAGTAAATTCAACATTCATCATTTTTTTTCATTATGGTTATTCAAAGCATGTTTTTTAATTTGCTTATAATGGTCTTCCATATAATGACTTTTTGTCATAATTTCAACTTATGTCATAATTTTGACCTTTTTATCTCTTAATTATGGCTTAATTATGACTTTTTTATGTCAAAATGATGATTTACCAAATCATATTTCTTTCTTATGAGGTAGAAATGGTCTTCCATAGTAAACCCAAAACAATCAGAAAAATTATTTACTTTTCTTCTCTTTACAGACATGTACGATAGACAATTTATTAGGCATTGAAATACAATTAATTTCACCCATTTTGTTTTAGCCTGCCATTCTGGGCTTTTGTGGTTAATTGATCATTTTGATGTTTTAAAGAGTTGGGCCTCACCATGAATGGACTTAAGAGTGAAAGTTTGATTTCTTTATCTAAACCTATAAATTGTGCCTTTATTTTTTAGCTCCTGATGCCTCATATCCGCAGCACACTTCAGATTAACATTCAGGCTAGAGCCACTCTTCTGGCCACAAAAGGTGTTTTTGACAAGGTTGGTGTGTTTATTTTCTACTTAATACTCTGAAGGGAGTGAAAGAAAGAATCTATTTTTAACTCCTGATTTAGTTTAATTTTATACAGTTTATGTTTCTGTTGTCTATAGTCAATAGCGTGTGGCCTGGAGGCAATTCCGCTGCTGATGGCTCGAGCAACACAACGCCTCAGTTACAGCTCAATGTGTGTGCCAGATGACGTAAAAGGGAGAGGACTGGATGCACTACCTATCTGCTATTACGCTCAAGATGCTCTCAGGGTCTGGGACGCTCTACACAGGTACATCATCAGCATTCAGCATTTTCTGAATCTGTGTCTTTAGGTTTGAAGTAAGCACATGATTTGCATTTCACATTCAGATTTGTTGCAGGCTGGATTCGTTTGTATTACTGTAACGATGAGGACGTCCAGCATGACTGTGAACTACAAAACTGGATTAGAGAGATCTTCACGGAGGGATTTCTTGGCCTCACTCACATAGGTTTGTAGGGAAATGACAGATAGGCCCTGTTTACACCTGGTATTAAGATGCGTTTTGGTCGATCGGATCACAAGTGTACGACCCTAAATACAGGTGTTATCGGGGTCTAAAACATTTTGAGCTTGTCCACTTGGGACCACTTCCAGAGGTAGTCGAAAACGCATTTGATCGTATTGCTTTTGTCGTGCTAATACTCATGTGGTCAAATGTGTTCTAACTGCCACAAAAGACCGTCTTCTCTCCGATTGCTGACCTAATGCGTTAAACATTACAGGAAGTGCACTAGCCAGACGGGATTTAAACTTTGTCGGCTGGAGACCTGAGTTTGGTTTGATGACGAAAAACGTACCTAGCACAATGTTCTCTCACCATTCCTTTTTTCTAACAGCGTTCAGCGTGGGTTTCAGAGCAGAAAGAAAAGCTGCTGCTCTCCGTATGTTTTTCCGTTGTCTCCGGTCGCATTCATATGTGAATTGCGCAAGCTTATTTTGTCCATTAGATCAAAAGATATGAAAAAACACACACATAGACCCTCCTCTCAAAGAAATCAGGACAGAAGTAGTTGAAAGAGGACAAAAGAGACGGATTAAAACACCAGGTGTAAACGGTTATGTGTCTCCCTTGTTTACTTGTGAACCGATCAACCAAAACGCATCTTAATACCAGGTGTAAACAGGGCCTTAGACCACATAGAGAGACCAATATGCTCAGTGAAGACCAGGAGTCAAAGTTGAAGTCCAACAAGTTGACAGAGAGTTTACTGAAGACAAAGTTCTCCACACTTTCATGGGCCATAGAAAATGAGTAAGAGGACCCAGCCTCGAATTAACATAAATATAGATAATAGGTTGATGTAATTCCTACATTTTTTTCTTTGCAAATGTCTCTGCAAACATAAAATAATTTGACCTTTTTATGACAAGGCTAGATTAGTTCAGGTTGTAAGATGTCATGTGGTGCAACTCCCCAAAAACTATATTTTTCATATGAAAAAAATAAATAAATGTATAGCTTGAAAAATATATTTACATTTTTTAATAATAATAATTAAGATATGTACACACATGTGTTCAATGTTTAAGGAAAATATTTTATTATATTTTACTTGATGGTTACACCACATCAGAGTCATTACATTTTATTACATTTCTAAATGTTCAAAGCCAAATGAAACCAACATGAATACAAAGATTAGGCTTCTAAGAATCTGAAACACATTTTAAAAGATGAACACTTTTACACATCACTTTTACTATCCATCTACTCCATATATTCTTCATAGTGATGTAAAATGCATAAAATGATCTTTGTTTTGCCTTCATATCATCTCTAGGAGTTCCACAGTCATTTCAGACCGCATCTGAAATGTGCAAGTTTGTAACCATGGTGATCTTCTCCTGCTCAGCACTTCATGCAGCTGTGAACTTCTCTCAGGTATGTTCAGTTATTAATAAATGGACAGAGGTTCTCCGAAACAGCATGTTATGTCAACTTAGCTAATGCAAATTTACTAAACTAATTCTTCACATTTAGTTGGATTTTAACCTTTGGATACCGAACAGTCCAGCGGCCATGTCACGCCCCCCTTCTCAGACCAAAAACTCAGTGTCTGAGGAAGATCTTTTCTCCTTCCTTCCGGAGGTGAACTCCTCTTGCCACGTCCTTAGTGTCCTATCTCTACTGTCTCAGCCTGCCATTGACTTTGTGAGTGTTAACAATGGCCTCCAGAGTATAGCTGCATGAACTTTACACTGTATATCTACTGTAGGATGCAGATGTGTTATTCATCTAGCCATTACTTCCTCTATAGGTACCCTTGTGCCATTATAATGAGTGGTACTTCCGCAATGGTGCAACCGTCAAACTTGTGGAGGAGGTCCAGAGAGAACTGAAGAAGATAGCAGAAGACATCGCAGACAGGAACAGCCGGCTGGTGTTGCCCTATCCTTACCTGTCTCCAGACTACATTGAGAACAGTGTGACTATTTGAGTTCACTGTCCAGCTGAAAATTGTGTCTGCATTTTATGGCCTGGTTTCACAGACAGGGCTTGGATTAAGCCAGGATTGGGCCTTAGTTTAATTAGGATTTTTAAGTGGGTTTTATAAACGTGCCTTAGAAAAAAAACATGGTGTGCATCATTGCAAAACAATGATTGTGACATTTTAAGATATGTTAGTGCAAGTTTCTTTCAGATAAAACAGCTCAAACATGTAGCCTATTTTAGTCTGGGACTGGCTTGAGCCTTGTCTGTGAAACCGGGGGTATGTGTATGCAACTATGTCAGAGTAGAAGTTTTGTCTTAATTTCAGCTATACGTACATTTACAGCTTTAAAAGTTTGATGTTTGATATTTTGGGCTTGCTTTCAACAGTAGGCTACTGTTGATTAAGAATCAACTATGCTGTTTAGTACATGTTCCTATGAAGAATATATGCATCATTGATTTTTCAAAGAAAATACAAATAAAAAGTAAGGTCATGCCAAAAGAAGGTTTAAGTCTGTTTGTCACTGATTAACCAAAATAAATCAGTTTACCCTAAAAACCTGCTATAACAAAAAATGGGCAGCTATCACTCCCGGTGTTCTGACGATTTGTGCTGCCTTGTCGAAAAATGCTACCGTAACGCGAATCGATCACAGAATGTCGATTAATATTATATGAAATACAATTATAATACAATTCTAAGTTATGAGTAGCTACTGTATACTTTAGACTACTGTTTTTATTTTTAAAACGGTGTGAAAATTAAAAATTATCATCAAATATTCATCTTTGACTTGTCAAAGCACACTTTTCCTTAGTAACTGAAACTTTCAGTTATTATTGTTCAGCTGGCTGACCGTACACATATTCATATGCTAGTTAGCATTTTTAAAGGGAAATTACAATATAACACATGAAAATGTACCTTTTGTTATAAAAAACTGTGCGTCTGCACATGCGCATGACCATTAAGTAGCAAATCTCGATGGGTAGCATGAATCGTCAGAACACCGGCATTAATAAAAATACAAAGTTCTGTCATGAAACTCTAGATGGTACAGGCTGATAGGTCCTTAACTCAATCTGCTTGCAGTCACATCGGCTGCATCCGAAATGACATACTTCCCTACTAGTAGGCACAAAACAGTATGTGACAAAATAAGTTAGTCCGAATTCACAGTACTCATGAAAGAGTAGGCAAAAACTACCCGGATGACCTACTTCTTCTGGCGACATTCTAAAGTGTGAATATGATGGACACTTTACTATCCCATGAGGCCACGGGAGAGGATTTGTGAATGGTAGTGAGGCGACACAACTGACTCTGGTAGGTCACGTGAGGAGGAGAGCATCTCGAATGTAGTACGTCCGGATTACATTCATACTACACACACTCATACTATATAGAACACACTTTTTTAGAGGTTGTGAAGTAATTACTTATTCAAAATAAGTACCTGCTCAAGAGAGTATGCGATTTCGTACACAGCCATCATTCTCTATAGGGCACAGCTGATTGGTTCATGCTGTATCAGTAGCCAATGTTGTGGCAAATTCTCGATCTTTGGTTCAATTCTTCAAAGTCTGGTTCAGGTCTCAGAAGAAATCTTTCAGAGTCGAAGTTTCAGGTCTCAGAAGAATAACTTTATTGAGCAGTTCAACAAAGTGAGAAGCCAGCTGGACATCTGATTTTACAATGGTCAGTGCTCAAATCTTAAACCTTCTTCTTATCTTTTGGTACCCAATTAGCGCTCAACTCGTTATTTTTTCTCTCTTTGCTCCTCCTTATTACTCCGCCTCGATTAAAACACCTGCATCGTTATTTTATTTTTTAATTGGGGCAACCTTTTTTTACGCATGCGTATCTTTTAAAAATGGCTTTATACATGATTTTCAGGTACTTTTCCATGCCCTTTCACCCAGTTTCTTCTCCTGTCCTTACCCGACCTGCCTTTTTCATGTCCTTTCACCCAGTTTCTTCTCCTGTCCTTACCTAACCTCCCCTCAGGCCTAGTTTTCTGTTCATCTCATATCCTTAGGCCTGGTTTTCTCCAATATTACAGCATTTAGACCTGGTTTTCTCTAGCATTACAGCATCTTATATTCAGAGACATGTATGAGACAAATGAAATTCCCCAACACATTAAGCTCAACCTTCAAATACTTGGTCAGCATTTGCTGTAGCAGTCGTCTGGCAGCGCTTTCAGAGATCCTCCACCTTCCCCAGCTCCACCTGTATGGATCTGCTACGGGTAATTCATGTACTCTATATTGTACTGCAACATGACATACTTGCTCACATCAGTGTGTCGTGTATTGGCATTAGCAAGTCCCGTACTTGCTCTGCAGCAGCAGCAATAACAGCAGCAGCAGCGTAGCAGATCTATTCCGCCAAGACCAAACATCAACATTGTCATTCTCATTACCATGCCAATCACTCCGAGAGTTGTCGTGACAGAAATATTTGGTTACACTTAAAGGGTTAGTTCACCCAAAAATGAAAATTATGTCAGTAATGACTCACCCTCATGTCGTTCCAAGCCCGTAAGACCTCCATTCATCTTCGGGACACAGTTTAAGATATTTTAGATTTAGTCCGAGAGCAAAATTTCCCTCCATTGAAAATGTATACTCGGTATACTGTCCTTGTCCAGAAAGGAAATAAAGAAATCATCAAAATATGTGACATCAGTGGGTTAGTTAGAATGTTTTGAAGCATTCAAATATTCTAAATATACTAAAATATCTTAAACTGTGTTCCGAAGATGAACGGAGGTCTTACGGGCTTGGAACGACATGAGGGTGAGTCATTAATGACATAAATTTCATTTTTGGGTGAACTAACCCTTTAATTTCAAGGTGTCATTGTTACAGTGTTATTATATATTTAAGTACTGAGTAATAATAATTAACTACATCTACTTACTATAGGGTTAGGGTAGGATTAGGATTTGATAGAGGGTTAGTTGTATGTAATTATGCATAATTTGCTGTTATTGCTATGGTAAGTACATGCAACATATCTGTAACAAGGACACTGTAAAATAAAGTGTTTCAAAATATTTTTTTTATAATAAAAATAAATTTCATTTAATTATTTTTAAAGCATTAAATTCTATTTTCACATTTTTCCTTAATTTGACAAATTTACAAAATTGTTGGAAATAATGCACATAAAAAAAGGTATTCTGTTCACATAGGATTTACTTGATTTTTTTTTTTTTTTCACACATCGTATTTAATCTCAAACATGTTCTTAACTGACTAGGCTAGTACTTTTAAGATTAAACGCCTGGGGATGAGACCAAATAAAATCTTTGCAGAAATTAAAAATTAACAAAATAAATGAAAAGTGATGTTGTTGTTTTTTGTTTTTAAATACTGGTATGACCTCGAAAAAATATCTACAAATCTGTTCATGTTAATAAAAGTCAACCCCTGGTACAAAATAGTGGCAGAAAATTAAGAAACATATTGAGATGTATAGTACAGGCTCCGAAGTGTCTTCAGGAGACCTGTGTGGAAACCATAGACTGTAAAAAAAATAACCCTAACAGTGTCCTTGTTACGGATATGTTGCATGTACTTACCATAGCAATAACAGTAAATTGTGCATAATTACATACAACTAACCCTCTACCAAATCCTAATCCTACCGTAACCCTATAGTAAGTACATGTAGTTAATTATTATTACTCAATAACTGTACAGTTCCGTTTGGTGCCACTAGTGGCGTGGCGCAAAAAGACACTTCTATTTGAATCACTTTTTTTCTGCGTCACTCTTCCAACGGTCATCCAACTGTTGACACCTGTTCGTACTTACATCTAAAACTTGAAGACCAGTATTTGCAAAAAATCGACTTGATTCTTGAGCTAGCCTGTTTGCGTCGAAATATTTTTAAGCATGTTGTAAATGCACAGGTTTCCAATTTATTTAGAGCTAATCTAGTTAAAATCCACAAAATAATTAATTTTGGGTCATATGAAGTCATGTTGTTGCATTTCAGCGACAGTCAGCAGATTGAAGCCGTTTCAGGGCGCCATCGCAGCTATAAAGGTGAGATGTTTTTCTTTATCTTTTTAATGAAAGGGTAAGCTGTTTTCTGTCACATTTTAAACCTGTAGCGCACATTTAGATGGCGCGAGGGCTACTTTTAAGTATTTCATCCTCTCAAGACGACTTTAGAACTAGCAGCTAACGTTATCCTATGTATATTGCCTAACGTTAGTTGTTGTCATGTCACACTAATAACGCTAGTTACACTGTGTGACTTCCCGTAAACTTAGCAGACTCAATTTAAATTCATAAAACGCCCATTTATAATACATTAAAAACTTCTGTTTAAATAAATAAATACAAACTTTAATAAAAAACAGAATAGTGGCCTATTACATTTTTCAAAGCACTGACTGACCACTGGGCGGCGCACTAGTCCAACAATTGTTTCAGAAACATGTAACAAAGACATAGCGTAAAGAAAGACTGTATAAAACAAAAACAAAACGCATGTATTATTATAATTTTATTTTGTCTAAAATATTATATATTAAGCTTACCAGATTTCTGAAATGGAAATTGCCGACATTTTCTAGTTTAGAGGTCAAAATTATCATTGAAATCTTACTTTTTGTCCATAAATTAAAAACGGGGACATGTTTTGTTTTTTAATGACTTTTTTTGTACTTTTCAAATGTTTTGTTTTACGTTTGTACTTGTGGAAACACCAGTTCTGTGCTTTCTTAAAAAATGTTGTATGCCAAATTCATGAAACGTTTTGACTTAATGAGCCAGCTAGGTTGCTTATTAATTTTCAGTGTAATATATACTCATATAGTTGTATCTCAGCTTGGCATGGCTCATATTGGAACGTGATTAATTCCTAGTTGTTTCTTTACCTTTTCTAAATGAGAAAAGTTATCAGAATTCAACAAACAGTGGCCGCAGCTCATAAATGTTTGTTTTTTTTTTGTACAGGAAATGACCACCATTTACTCTTCAGTTTCTTTGTGCAGTGCAGGACAGGTAATTACCATCCTTCTAATTGTCCATTAACTAGACATTGAAAACCCATAAAGAGTAGACTTAGATTCAGATATGTCATGGTTCTGGCACAGCCTGAAGCACATGACC